TTCTCTCCTCTCACTGAGTTAGTTTTCCCACAAAAAAGTGTCACCCTCATTCAAGGTTTGTCTTCTCACTTTAATTAAACCACTTAAAATCCCTCATAGGCATGTTCACAGATCAACCTAATCTAGACAATTCCACTTGAGATTCTTTTCCTAGGCAATCCTAAATTGTGTCAAGTTGATAAAACCAGTTAGCACACATGTTTATGAAAGATTGTATCTTGTTTCACTCAGAACTTCATTGAGAATTGTTTGACATTTAAAAATTCATCAGCTCATCAAGGGCAAGATCGTGTTACAGAAAACACTGCATCTGATGGGACTGCCTCAAAGAAAACTGGTGGAGAGAATTTTTTGTAATTCATGCCCCTGGTGCAAAGAAAGGAGAAAAAGCAAATAGTGTGAAAGGACCGAGTTCATATTCAATTATTCTCTAGTGTACAGGTTTCCGTCTCCACAGACAACCTGATTATAGAAGAATGGTTTTTAAAAACACTTCAGAGTATTGAGTTTATATCTATTTAAAGACATAAAGGGAAAGAATGAGGCTGGCGTTGGTGGCGCATGCCTTTAATCCCAGCACTCGGGAGGCAGAGGCAGGTGGATCTCTGTGAGTTCGAGGCCGGCCTGGTCTACAGATTGAGTTCCAGGACAGTCTCCAAAGCTACACAGAGAAACCCTGTCCCAAAAAAAATAAATAAATAAAGGGAAAGAATGGAGTGGCACATAAAAGGGCAGGATGGAGAGAAGGAGGTGATAGCAAAGAAAACAACTCCACATAAATGAATGTTTGAGCACAGAAAGGGCAAGGAAAGATGCACAGAGAGCAAGAGACAGACAGACATGCAGGGACCCATGCAAGCACGTGCCCATGCTCACATACACACCTCTTTTTTGTTGTTGTTGTTGTTGTTTTGGTTTTTCAAGACAGAGTTTCCCTGTAGCTCTATACTGCTTTTGCAATTTATAAGATAAAATTGCACAAGAGTAAAGAATGAAAGAGGAAAAACAGGAGAACAGGAATCAACTAGTTTTAGTCCAAACACCAAGATAAACAATCATCTAAGAACCTTCTAGTGAGTGCAGCTAAGGGAATGTGCTGAGGAAGGACTTCTTTAGTGAGAAGAGAAACTAAAAGGTGACAGTTGGAGTGACTGGGGTGACAGGAGGCTAACACTGGCCAATATTAACCAAACACCCATGTACTTCTTGCCACAGTATTACTTGTACAACTTTTTACTGACTGCCTCTCTTTTTGCTACACATATGCTTTTAGCATAATATCTCAATTTCACATGCTATACACTTCCCAAGGCTGGAGGTCTCAAGGATCATTGTAAAGGTCTTTTTTAATATATAAGAAAAAACAGCGAGTAAATTTAGACTCTACACATCACAGTCTGTTTGCTTAGCATGTGTGAGACCCTGGGCACCATGCCCAGGACATGATATAAAAAAAGACTGACATGCATCACATGCCCAGTGCTTAACAGATGAGCTAGACTCTAGCTCAGGAAAATAGGAGCCCATCTTGTAAGCATATTATCATGAAAACACAGCAGGCATCAAATACACACTTTGCTGCTAGTCTTTTTACTGTTCAATATTAACTGCTGAGAAAAAAATACCAAAATATGCTTTCGAGGTTAAAATAGACCCCATTATCTTTCTTGGTCTATAGCTTTCTAGACGTAAAGTGGTTCTATTTCTGGCTCATTTGAACATCATGTTTGTGCTAATGACAGAAGCATAAAGAAAAAGAAATAAAAAAGAGAGTACATAATCCCAAGAAGGTGCATTTAAAGTTCCCACACAAGCTGACTTGAAAAAAAACTAAAACTGAGCTAGGGACGTTGCTCGATGGTAAAGCGCTTGCCTTGTATGTACAAGGCCACGGGTTCAACTCCACAGCACCAAAAGAAAATGGCTTTCTTTTTTAGTTGACACTGCTCAACTGAACCAACTCTCTGTGCAATAAGGTAAGGCAGCAGCAGCTGCAGTCCCAGTGAGACAGCCTCACTGGCAGCAGAGTGCTTAGAACAGAACTGGTACCTGAAGGTATCCTCACCATGATCCAAAATTCCAATTCATGCCCTTTTACAACCTACATCTGCTCTTCAGAGTTACAAAGCTACATTCTGCCACTTTCCACAGCTCGGAAATTCCCTTCCCGCAAGACACAACAACTCAGAAGGCAAGACAAATAAGCATTCCCCAGCTGCTGACAGCAGAACAAGGCTTCTGTAATGCAAATAAGTGCTCGAGTGGAAATCCTGCCATGTCCAGTGCTCATCAGAGGAGAAAGACACTAGCTGAGGAAAATAAGAACTCGTCTTGTCAGCACCTCATCATGAAAACGCAGGAGGCATCGAGTACATGTCTTGCTGCTAATCATTTTAATGTTCTATGTATCCGCATAGGAAAAAATATACTTGAGATGTTAAAATAGACCTCATCTTTCTTAGCCTTATAGCTTACAAGACTTAAAATGGTTCTTTTTTTAGGAAGTTTCTTTGTCTGTGTGTGGGAAACATTCAAAAATCCTCTTTTTGTGACAGCCTCGAAAACAATACAGAGTTGTCTCATAAAAACCAAAAAAAAATCCTCTTTTTGGTTATTTTGAAATCTACAGTATATTATTGCAAATGTTTAAAGTGATGGACATGCTAATTGCCTTGATTTGGTTGCTGTACATTGTATCTATGTAACAGGGGCCCTAAGGATTAGAATTTCCCAGGGGAAAAATCCATGCTTGGGTGAGGCTAAGTCACCCACATGAGCCCTGGTACCAGAAGATAAACTGGTTTCTCACAAGAAAAGATTTATCTCTGGCTTCTAATAACTTGGTCTCACTGCTAAATTCATATGCACATTATTTCAACCCTGTTTCTTCACCTTGTATAAATTGTAACACTGGCATAGACAAAGCTGAGAGGGATTCACAATTTCTGTTTGCTTAGTTCTGGCCAAAACAAAATAAACCCTTCACTTATTTTAGTACGTATGTATGCAAAGAGGGGGGGAAGGGGGAACAAGAGGAGGGATGGGGAGCAAGCTTATGCACGCTTGTAATGTGGAGGCCAGAGGCTGACATCCAGTGTCTTCCCCAATCATTGACTTAATTATTGTTCAATGTATTGCTTTTACTTATTTATTTTAAATTTAAAATTAACATACACATCATTTGGTTTCATTCTGACATTTTCTCCTGCCTATCTTCTCTGACACCACCACCTTAATTTTTGAGGCAAGTTCTCTCACCAAACCAGGAGTTCACTGTTTCAGACAGACACGAGCAGGTCGCTGTGCCCAGCTTTTACATGGATGACAGAGGTGCTCATGCTTGCCCACTGAGCCATGTCCCTAGTTTCTTAGTAGTGAGCTGAGTCAAGAACCTGAAATTCACCGGGCAGTGGTGGCACACGCCTTTAATCCCAGCACTCGGGAGGCAGAGGCAGGTGGATCTCTGTGAGTTCGAGACCAGCCTGGTCTACAAGAACAAGAGTTCCAGGACAGCCTCCAAAGCCATAGAGAAACCCTGTCTCGAAAAATGAAAAAAAAAAAGAGTTCTCTTTAAAAAAAAACTTGAAATTCCTATGGCGTATGTTTAGATATCATACTGTGTCCCATGAATATATTAAGTATGTGCCAGCTTAGATGAATATGTCTAACTTAAAAGGAAAAGTTCCATTAGCATCATGACAAGCAATATAGAAAATAAGATGCAAACCTAAAGGCAACTACCAACCTGGGATGTCTTACACTAACAGTGCTTGCTAACTGTCACCTTCCCTGTAATTATTATTGTTGTGCCTTTTTAAAAACAGAAATAAAAGTAGAAAGCTTTTAATTCATTAAAATCCTTCTTAGATTCTGGCCAAGTCACAGTTAGCACCTTTTTACCTTTATTGTCCTATTCCTTACTTAACAGAATCACTGAATGTCCACACTGCAGTCAGTTATACAATGAAATCCTAGTGTGTGAACTTTAGTAGATGTAGGCCTAAAATCGACCTACATATGAACCCTGCGTCTGCCTTACAGCAGACACTCAGCCTTGAGTAAGCATCTCTATGTCTTAGTTTCCTCTTCTATAAGGTAATATCTAATCATAACCTCGTAAGCAACACAGACAGACCTGGCTACTGTTCCAGTCAGTATTCATTTAATCCCCACAACAACTCCTAGAAAGTACCATCTCCAGCACTTTGGAGGCAGAGGCAGGCAGATCTCTGTGAGTTCAAAGCCAGCCTGGTCTACAGAGTGAGTTCCAGGACAGCCTCCAAAACAATACAGAGAAACCCTGCTTCGAAAAACCAAAAAAAAAACAAAAACAAAAACAAAAAAAAACAAAAAAAAAAACGAAAAAGAAAAAGAAAAGAAAAGAAAAGGAAAGAAAGTACCATCTCCATAGTACAGGTGAAGCAACCCAGGCACAAAGAGATCCAGTGACTTCCCTACCGTCATATGACTGGTCATCAACAGGGCCAAGGATTCTAAGGCAGGTAGGTTCCAGAGCCTGTGTTCTAACCACACCCTCAGCCTCTGCAAATGAGGCCCTATCTGCTAAAAGTGGGTTTGAATGCACGACTGAGTTTTTGGCAAGTGTCTATTGGGTAGCAGCTGTGATTGTTATACAAGCTCTGTCCTTTCTGCAGTCTGCACAACCTTTTAGTAGGGTTTTTAAATAAAAGAGGTTGATGGAAGAGAAGATAGTCGGGGGAGGGGGAGATAGAATGTGAGAAAGGGGCTGAGAAACAGCAAGGTAGAGGGACCTGTGAATACCTAGAAACAAGTGTTGCTGGCTTGGTCTTGAGAGAACAGGGTGACTATTCGCCGCAGAAAATGGAAGCCCCAGTGTTGCCAATTGCATTGAAAATACATGCTGACTGGGCATGCCTCAGATACCTGAGAAAGTCGCCTTCGATCCCACCCTAGCCGGGAGGCGCTGCTCGGGCGTGGGCGCAGCTTCCCGAGTTCATCTCGAAAGTCCGCCCCACGCCGGGCGGGGCCTGGCCGGACTTCTCTGCCGGTGGCCCGCGAGCCCCGGGCACCAGCCACGAGGTGGCCTGCGAGGGGCTGGGTGTCGATGGCTACGTGGAGGCGGGATGGCCGGCTAACCGGCAGCCAGCGGCTCCTGTGTGCAGGGCTGGCGGGGGCGTTCAGCCTCAGCGTCACCGCGCCCCTGGAGCTCGCCACCGTGCTCGCCCAGGTCGGCATGGTGCGAGGCCACACCCAAGGGCTGTGGGCCGCGGGACGCCAAGTATGGCTGACTGAGGGGCCCAGAGCACTGTGGAAGGGGAATGGCGTGGCGTGCCTGCGTCTCTTCCCCTGCAGCATGGTGCAGCTGACTGCCTACAGAAAGTAAGAGTCTGGAGGGAGGGGTCGGGAGGTCGGACTCGGGTGGCAGAGCCACCACCCTGATGTACTAGCACTGGGAATCCTAAGATGTCCCAGCCTCCATTCCTTCCTAATAACAGAGGGGAGGTGTTTCTTGGGGCCTTGGGGTCACAAGGCCGGATGTGTGGCCTCTAAAGCACAGTACCAGTTTTTCACATGCTTTTGAGATTCCTGCCCTGTGGGCTGCAGTTTTGTGAAATCTTTAGTCTTTCTGGGAGGTACAAGGAGAGAAGACAGAATTGGCAAATGATATCTGGGGGTAAAGAAACAAAAAAGGCTTCCCAAGGAAGTGAGGTCTGACCATTCCCAATGTCCAGCAACTTGGAAATGTTTGCTTCCGCTGGCTTAGGAGAGACCAGTGTACCCAGGACTAAGTGCTCAGTACAGGAAGAAGGACCAGTCTCAGAAAGAGTCCTGCCCACTGCCCAGCCTAACTTGGCTTTAGGATCCAACGGGGCCTATAGCTTCCTTTTCCCCAGCAGGGACCTGTCTTCTCAGCCTAACGTTTCCCCGCCCCCAGCCACCCACTGATCTCATCCTGTGAACTTTTCTCACCTTCTCAACCACAGCTACTCAGGGAAAGATCTAGAGATGCAAATGGAGGTGCATGTGAGTGATCCTAACAAGAACTCAAGAGTACTTGCATGGGAGCTGGAAAGGAAGCCAAAAAGAAGGAAGCCAGTGATGGCAACTCTAGAGGAGGGACTATTTCTCTGTTGGGGACAACAGTCCCTGCATTCCTCATTAGGAAGGCACAGTGTCAGCTCTAAAGGCTGGCCTTGGCTCTAAATTAGACAAACAGCCTACAGACAGGAGCTGAACAGGCTACTTTTTGTTTTGTTTCCAGGGCTGGAGGTGAAACCCCAGGCCTTGAAGCCAGTGAGTGAGGTATTCTGCCACTATATCCCCAGCCCCACAAACTAATCAGTCTTAACCACATAGTTCACTCTTGGAAGAGAATCAAGAGGTTTTATCTTGACACTGTTACGTGGAAGGCCAGAGCTGGGAGGCTTGCCCAGCAGTTGGCATTCTGAATGGGCTCACCCTTATCTTTGGGTGCTCCAGGCCATCTTCTGTGGCTTCCTGGCTTCTGCTGTTACCCCAGCAACATATGGCATGCAGTCTTGAATTTTTTTAATTTTATTTTATTTTAATTTTAAATAACTTGTTTTACATGTCAATCCCAGTTCTCTCTCCCTCTCCTCCTCCCGCATCCCCCAACACCCCCCAGCCTCCCACCCTATTGCCAATTCCTTCCACATAGGGGATATCTAGAGTCTGTCATTTCACTCAGGGTAGGGTACAGGCACTTCCCTAAGAGTCCAGGCTGAGAGAGCATCCCTCTTTGTGTTATGGACACACGAAGTCCGTTTGTATGCCAGGGATAAACACTGATCCACTGCTCAGGGCCCCATAGGTTGCCCAGGCCTCCTCACTGACACTCACATTCGGGGGTCCGGATCAGGCCCATGCTGGCCTCTCCGCTGTCAGTCTGGGGTCCAAGAGCTCTCCCCTGTTCAGATCAGCTGTCTCTGCTGGTTTTGCCAGCCCATTCATTGCCAATTTGCTCATCGCTCCTCTCTCGCTGTCACTGGGTTCCTTGGGTTCAGTTCAGTGATTAATTGTGTGTTTGCCTCTGCTTCCATCAGTCACAGGATGAAGGCTCCCGGATGGTTATAGACATCAAGTTCATTATCAGGAATGGGCATTCGAGGGGGTCTCTCCACTATTGCTTAGCTTGCCAGTTGGTGTTATCCCTTTAGATCACTAGAGGTCACACTGGTGCCTGATCTGTCTTCTTGAGTTTTAATGACTCAATTTTTCCTACTTTATTCTCTTCTCTGCAAAGTGGTAGGGAAATCTTTCCTTGGATAAGACAGAATGTGTACAAAGGAACAGGAGGAGGGGACAGATTTTCAAAGCCTGATTCTAATGGCATGGCTTTTCTATACATATAAATCGTTTGGCCTCCACAACTTCTGCTTCCTGCCTGAAACAGTTCATAGGACAGAAAGTACTATGTCCATTTTCAATAATAAAGAACTAAGCTCGCCGGGCGTTGGTGGCACACGCCTTTAATCCCAGCACTCGGGAGGCAGAGGCAGGCAGATCTCTGTGAGTTCGAGACCAGCCTGGACTACCAAGCGAGTTCCAGGACAGCCTCCAAAGCCACAGAGAAACCCTGTCTCGAAAAACCAAAAAAAAAAAAAAAAAGAACTAAGCTCACATTGGAGCACTCCTAGTCAGTGGCAGTACTATCAATTGGCCTTCTGATTCCAAGCCTTATACCACCATGCCACTTTTCTTTCTGCCTTCATTTGACATTAGTTAGGACCCAGAAGCAACCACCATGCACATGATGCTGGAGACAGGGCAAGAATGAAAGCAACAGGTTCCCCTGCCTCAATTTATAAAGTAGCTTAAAAAAAGGACTGGTATATCTCAGTCCACAAACATACAATGTATTTAATTAATATAAATTGCCAGAGGATCAAGTGCTATAGAAATGCACATTTAGGGTGAGGGATGAGAAGATGGGAAGGTTTCACAGAGGAGAACAAACTATCTAGTTTGGCCTTGGGAGAATGAGTAGGAGTTTCATGGGCAGAGATGAGGTCATTGCAGGTAATGTCAACACAGGCCTAGGAGAAGAAAGGCATGCAGCACAAACAGCTGGAAAAGCAGGTTGGAATGAGATCCTGAAAATCAGACTTGGTATGTGAGGGTGGCAATGGGAAATGTTTATGGGGGGGAGTGATTAGAAATTCAAGGGGGATGATTGTCTCGTGATGGCAGGATAGGATGGAAGAGGAGAAAGACTGTGGGTGGTAATAGCAGCTAGGAGCTTGTCACACCATAAGGCGCTGAGAGTATCTGCAATGGGTTGGTGACAGAAAAGAAGAAAAGAGCAGAGGATTACACAGACTAGCTTTGCTAATATTTTTCTGGCAGATTATTTTCTTTCTGAAAACTAAAAGGAAGCATTCTAGTGAATGACAAGTTATAGTTAGAAAGGTTGATCAGTTGTGAAGCCATCCTTCCTCCATAAAGATGGTAGTCATGGCTTATCATTCATTCTACCAATTCATGAATTTTCAAAACAGGTGGCACTGAATAACAGTACACTCTCTGATCATGGGTTGAAACAAAACATTCAGCATATTCAGTGAATGGAATAGTTGAAAAAATTATCCGTAATTCCAATGACAGAGCTAGAACTTGAAAACATTCTCTGGCTCCTTGGTCCAGGGTTCTGTCCACTACTACAGAGCTAAAAATGTCTGCTTAATTGGATTGACAATGAAAGGAGATGACTGCTTAGAGTGGTGGGTGCTGTGTTTCACAAGCAACTAATGGCTGATATAATGGATGGCTTTCAAATGCATTAAAAAGAAAGTTCTCCAACTTTATTGCACAAGAGTTTGTTTGTCTGAATATATATTAGTTTGGGTCCCTGCAGTTGTGAATTGTTTAGAGCCACCCCCATTTCCTCATTTCATAACCAATGAGCTTGTGTTAAGATGTTTGAGCTGCTAGCAGTGTTAGCATTGGAAGTACTGGTCATATATATCTAGGGTGTGTGTAGAATCTGAATGAGCTGAAAGAAAGGGGTTCCTGCAGATCACCAGTGCATTCAGTCTCAGTGTCACTGAATAAAGCTTCTATGCTGGTATGTACATGAAGAAGATCAAAAATGGAACACTGCCTCCCCAGCCAGTCAGACACAGTTTTAAGAGATAGGGACCACAATGATGTCCTTGGTAGCCTAACAAGGTTATCTACATTGACTCTGTTTTTTCAGATGTGTTATGAGTGTTTCTCTACGTGTACATATGTGCACCATGTGCATGCCTAGTACCAAAAGGGGTCAGAATAGGGCACCGGATGGTTGTGAACTGCCATGTGGAACCAAACTACCATGTGCAGACCAAACCCTGGTCCTCTGCAGGAGGAACAGCCACTGCGCTTAACCACTGAGTCATCTCTCTAGCCCCTTGACTTTGCTATTCTAAGGGAAGATTAGAGGTTAGGAGTCTTAGAAGAAAGAAGTTCTTTTTCATTTTCTACATTTGATAGTTAAGACAACAAACCAACATAACAAGCTAGGGTTCCTCTTCCTAGTTCAAGTACTTTAGCAAGCCAAGGACCTGTTTCCACGTAGATGCCTCTAGCAATCAGTCATTTCCTTGTTAGGACTGCTGAGTTCTCCTATGTGATATATGCTGAGAACTAGCACAGTATCTGGTGCATTATGGTTAGTCAACAAATGGGCAATAAATTAGCCTATGTCCTAGAATGGCTGAATAGGATAGGGAATAAGAATGGGACAATGAGAAAGAATGGAGCTGCTTCTTGTATACTAAACTCCAAGTAGGGTTTTTGCCAGCTTGCTGCAGACAATCAGACAATCATTTCATTTTGTGTATCTCCTGTCCCTCCATCTTGCTTGGCCAGAGGACAGAAGCAGTATGCCGGCATTAATACAGAGGTCAGTGGCCCATTGGTGAATGCCAGCTTTAATTGTCTGTATATCATTCCCTTCAATGCTGGGAGCATAGCCAGGGCTCCAATTGAGATGCACCAATAACCCCTTGAAGGAGATGTTATGAATGAACTTCAAATGGTTTCACTTGAAAGCCCACTCATTATTCATCAGGCCAGCTGTCATCTGAACAACAGGAAACCTACCTCCACTACAAGTTTGAGAGCCAAAGATACTTTCATTTTAAAAAAAGTTAAAAGTATTTTAGCCCAACTCTGTTCACTTACTTTTATTCCAAACTCTCGGTATTCTCCTTGTACCATTCTATGGCAGGAAGTAATATTTTTCCTAGTTTCCCAGTCTCATCACTAAGAAATTAACTTGCTTTTTGTAGCCTGGTGTGCTATGTAGAAGTACCCTTGTAAATATTTCTTCTGGGTAGGCACTCATGACTGGGGATGCCCTGCTCCCTGCCCCCATAAAAAGGCTTATAACAGGTAGTTTATAGTTTGCGTTTAGAAAAGTCCATGCAAAGTGGTTTAAACTAAATTGTAAAACTACTGAGAAATACAAAGAATAGTTTGTCAAACACTCATATACCTACCATCCACAATTTACATACTATTTTTAAACAGAGTCGCTCTTTGTATTCCAGATTGGCCTTTAGCTTATTCTGTTGCCCAGACTGGTCTCAAACTCAAGATTCTCCTGTCTTAATCTCCCAAATGCTAGGATTACAGGCCCATACCACCAAACCCAAAATATCTTTGTTGACGTTGAGAGGTGGAATGACAATGCCATCGTTTTTGCATTCCCCTACATTTTGACATTTAATTGTTGTAACTTTTCATTCCTATAAGACATGTTTGTAGTGTGTCTTCACATGTAGATCTGTAAGAGTTCCTCTAGACTATGAACTGGAAAATGGAATTACAGGGTAAAAACATGTGTTTCTTCATATTTACTAGATACTACAAAGTGATTCTACCAATTTTATATTCCTTCCAGCAAAGGGTGAGGGTGTCAGTTTGCACACATTCTCTCCATCATTTGACATGATGCCAGTCTGCTGGATGAGAAGAGGCTGTTTTGTCATGGGTTTTTGTTTTGTTTTGTTGTTGTTTTGGTTTTTCAAGACAGGGTTTCTCTGTAATGCTCTGGAGCCATACTGGCACTCACTCTGTAGACCAGGCTGGCCTTGAACTCACAGATCCACCTGCCTCTGATTCCCGAGTGCTAGGATTAAAGGCGTGCGCCACCAACGCCCTGGCCTTGTCATGTTTTTGTCATTTTTCTGATAACTAGTAAGACAGCAGCTCCACTTGTAATTACTATTATAAAGGAAATGAATTCTTTATACAAAGTCTAGCAGAGCTTATTTGAACAAAATAAAACAAAACACAATTCTCCAATAAGACACCTCCCAGAACCAAGGAGTTTCCAAGAAGTTCAACCCACCACATGACAGTCAGATAGCATTTCTGAGGGAGAGGAGGGATGCAAGGTATTGAAAACAGCTTAATTGAGCCAGCCGGGCGTTGGTGGCGCACACCTTTAATCCCAGCACTTGGGAAGCAGAGGCAGGCGGATCTCTGTGAGTTCAAGACCAGCCCACTCTACCAAGAGAATTCCAGGACAGTCTCCAAAACAATACAGAGAAACCCTGTCTCGAAAAACCAAAAAAAGAAAACAGCTTAATTGGTGGCAGCCTTGTCATCCAATCAGCTGATTCACTGTAGGCTAGCTAGTTAATCATTCTAACCTAATCAGCTAGCTGGATGTAGGGCCTTCTGCGGGAAGCCAAAGCCCTGTGGCTATGATTAAAGTTGATATTAGCATGGATTTTGGGCCTCAGAACTCAATTTCTGGGATGCTGGACTTGGCATGAAGCTCGGTAACAGAAGGGTATACCTAATGTGTGGGAGACTTTGGATTCCATTCCCAGTGCTGGAGAAGAGTGAAATTTCTGGATTTTGCAATTATTCCAAGAAATTCTATCCCCTTTAAATTTCAAGAATATGGAAAGACTACATTCCGGTGTAGCAATTGCTTCTGTGCCTTTACAGCCCACTGGCAAGTTAGATGGTTACGCGGATAAAAGGGTAAAATGCTGAAAATGAAGTAGGAAGAATTTGGGGGAAGATACAGATCAGAAGCTGGACAGTTCTTCTTTATGGCTAACTAGCATTATATGAGGATAGTAGAATCTAATTTTATTATTCAGTAATCCCAGTATAATTCTATATTTTTCACATTCCAAAGCATTTCCAAATGCTAGGAAATATTTGAAGTGGTGTAAAGCATGCCAGCATAGTCCAAAACTCATATCTTGAGAACTTTCTGTTTCTCCCCCGCCAGGTTTGTTGTGCTGTTCATGGATGACCTGGGCCATATTTCCCAGTGGAGCTCCATTGTGGCCGGAAGTCTGGCAGGCATGGTTTCCATGATTGTCACATACCCTACAGACCTCATCAAAACCCGGCTGATTGTGCAGAACATGCTGGACCCATCTTACAGAGGGCTTATCCATGCTTTTTCTACTATTTATCATCAAGAAGGGTTCCTGGCCCTTTATCGAGGGGTGTCCCTCAGTGTTTTAGGTAAGGTGAAACTTGACACCACTTCTTGACACATGTAAAGGTATTATATACCTTCATGAATACTTAAATCAATTTTAGAGGCCTCAAGATTGTAGGCCAAACAATTCTAGTGACTCAGAAAAGTCTGGCTTTCAATGCCACCCTCAAAACTGCCAAGCTGACAAACATCTTCAGTGCGTATATCCACCATCAGGCACAACAGGATTTCAGTGATATCTATAGCCTTTTACAGAGCTATACATATACAGAGCTTCTGTTTGCCAAATCCAGTAGGATTTAGTCCACCTATGTAGTACTAGATGAGTTTATTCACCCTGTCCTCTGGAGACTTGACTTTTAGGGTGCCACTGTCTCCTGGGTGTCTTCACTTCTCCAGCAGATCTCTCTTATCCAATATACCTGGCCCATTTGAGTCATCTGACACTGTCAGCTTGCTTATGTTTGGTCCCCAGGCTCCTCCCTCAGCTTTATTTTTACCCTCTATATTGGCTTTCTTTTTGTTGGTGTTTATGTTTATTTATTTGTTTGTTAAGAGAAAGGGTCTTACTCTGTAGCTTTGGTTGACCTTGAACTTGCTATGTAGACCAGGCTAGACTCTAACTCAGCCTCCTGAGTAGTAAGATTATAAGCACATATCACCATACCCAGGCTTCTACATTGGCTTTCTTACCTTACATACCCTCTCTAGATTACTCTGTCCTAAGCTAGTAGTTTCAACAAGCATGAGTATATTTTGACTTCTAAAATCTTTAATAGCAATGCTAACATTTTTAGGGGTACTCACTGGGTAAAAGCTCTGACTATAATTTCTCATTCAATTTTTTATCTTTATTCTTAAGTTTTAATATAATTTTTAAATCTTTGAGAATTTCATATAATTTCATGTACTTTGATCATACCGCTACTCCTCCCCTACCTCCTCCAAGATCTCCCCACTTATTTCCCTAACCCCTTCTCAACTTCATGTCTTCTTTGTTAATAACCTACCCAGTCCAATCTGTACTACCCAAATATAAACTTATGGGTATAAGGCTGTCCACAGGATCATGGTCAACCTACCAGGGCCACACTCTTGAAGACATATAACTCTCCCTCCCCCATAAAGTTTACTTTTATTATATATGAATCACACATATATATCTATATCTGTATGAAGAAGTATGTTTAGAATAGAACATTGGATGCATGTTCTCACATGGATGCTGAGAACCAAACTCATGTCCTCTGCAAGAACATAGGACACTAACTGCTGAGCCATCTCTCAAGACCTCTTTAATTGATATATACTTGTATATATTTATGGGCTATGTTTGATATTTCGATACACACATATATTCCATAATGATCAAATCAGAGCACTTAGCATATCTATCACCTCAAACATTTATCATTTCTCTGTTATGAGTTCCCCGATTCTATTAAGAATCTCTTTTCTAGATACTCTGAACTGTACAATGCAGTTATTAACTATAGTTACCATGTTGAGCAATAGAACACAGTCACTTATTCTTCATATCTAGCATTTCACTCATTAGGTAACCTAGACTGGCCTGGAACTTGCTATGCTATCCAGGATGCCCTTTAACCCTTGATCCTCCTGCCTCAGCTTCCTCAGTGCTAGAATTACAGATGTGTGCCACCTTACCAGGGCTGTCTAACTTTTTGCCTGTTGAACAGCCTCTTAGACATCATTTTACAAATGAGAAAGTGGGTACTTTGGAAAGCTACATGACTGGCCCAAGGTCACACAGGCAGTGGGATACACTATGATTCTGGGACCTTCTCCTTAGCTACTTAATACCAGTTCCTAGTGGAACCATACCTCTATTGGAAATGCCGACCTCCATGTTCCCTGGGTGCAAAATCTGATGTCCTCACTAGTGTCAAACTTACTTTTCTTTATGCATGCCTTAGTAAATAAGACTGCCTTCCTTCCTTTCTCCCAGTAGCCCAAGCTCGAAGAAACTCAGGAATCACCTTGGTTCCTCCGCCCACTAACGTCACTAAGCCTTGTCACTTTGACCTCTTAATGCACAAGTCTGTACCCTCTTCTGCCTTAGCTCATGCCACTGTCATCTTTCTTACTAATTCTAGAGAATCAGACTCTCCTGAAGACTCATGTTCCTATCTGGCCCTTTGTCAGGTGGCCCTGTGTACTGCTGCCTGGCTAGAATGATCCTTCTAAATGTTCTGCCCTCATTTCACTGCAATCCTTAAAAGCTAAGGGGGGAAATCCAGAACTCCTATGGCATTCTGAGTCCTGCCAGTCTGCCCTACCTGAAGCCTAGCCTGTAGCATGCCCCTACCTGCTTTCATGTTCAAGTCATGTAGAAATCCACGTACTTCCTAGAGACACACATTCATTGTACAGATAATACATACAGCCTTTGCCTGGACTGCCTTTCCACTCTCTCAGTGTCCGATGGACCTACTGTTTGCTCAAGACCCACTTCAAAAGTTCTCTGTTCTAAGCCAAGTGTGGTGATTCATGCATATAATACAATCTCAGTGCTCTAGAGGTTATGGCAGGTGAATCAAGTTCCAGGCTTATCTTGGCTACTATAGGCATGCTGTGTTGGGCCTGTAATCCCCCCTTAGCTTTAAGAGGGGGAGGTTCAAGGAGGAAGTGAAAGTTCAAGGCCCACCTGAGCTTTAGAATTCAAATAAATTTGGGCAATTTGCTGAGACCCACATCAAAGAGTTAAAAGGGTAAGGGTAGGTAAAGTGGGGTTGGAGCTCTAAATTCAATCCCTAACATAACAGAGAGGCAGAGATAATTCTCTTTTTTGTCTTTTTTTTGGTTTTTCGAGACAGGGTTTCTCTGTATTGTTTTGGAGGCTGTCCTGAAACTCACTCTGTTGACCAGGCTGGCCTTGAACTCACAGAGATCTGCCTGCTTCTGCCTCCCGAGTGCTGGGATTAAAGGCGTGAACCACCAACGCCAGGCTTCTGCCAATTCTTTCCTGGCTCTTTTGGGCAAAATTAATCACTCTGATGCTTAAGTATATAAAGAAACTTATATAACTATATGTACATATATGATATGTACTATATATATACATATCAGGAGTGTCATAAATAGCATTCCCTAGCTATCTCCTGGACTTGATGGTAAATATCTCCAGAAATTAGCTTGCTCTGAGTTGTAGTCCCAGAACCTGGCATAGGGCCAAACACACGGCAAAGCATCCTTCAATTCCTATTTTGAGACAGGGTCTAATGTAGTGTAGGCTAGGCTTGAGCTCACTATGTAGGCAAGGCTAGCCTTTAACTCCTGATTGTCAGCCTCAGCCTCTCTGGTGCGTCTCCAAATGTTTCTGAATAAAAACAAAAAACTAGGGAGTCCTTTTTAATATATGTATAGTATATGTTTATTAAACAGTACCTTTGCCTAAAGATAAACCATATCCTACTTGGATTCCGTCTCCCTTTTTTGCATTGCTAGGGATGGAACCTAGAGCTTTGCAAGTACTCTACCACTGAGATCCATCCTCAGACGTATCCATCCCATCTAGTAGATCTCTTTTTGTATTTTCACTTTTTACTTTATGTACAGGAGTGTTTGCCTGCATGCCTGTCTATCACATGTGTACAGTACCCATGGAGGCCAGAGGAGGGTGGCAGATCCTCTGAAACTGGAGTTACAAGTGGTCCTGAGCCACAGTGTTGGTGCTGGGAATTGAATTGCAATGCTCTGGAAGAATGGCCAGTGCTCTGAACCACTGAGCCATCTCTCTAGCCCAGATCTCATTTTTGAGAGACAAATCAGTCCATCTGTAAACCAAAGATGGCTCTGAAAGTTTCTGGAAATTTGTGAGAGTTCCAAATAGTGTGATATTTACTCACCATCTTAGTTCCTAGGAAGGTGAGGATACCACAGTGTATAATGCTAATTGAGCCCTTAGACATCCAAGCAAGGTCAGGTAACCTCCATGACCACAGTTATCACAGAATGCTTCCTTCTGCGCTACAGAACAGCCCCTTTCTAGCCTCCCAAACTGGATCAAGTACTGCCTATTAACTTCTTTTATGGAAGTGATTTTTTTAGAGATTTCTATTTTCTTTGTAATTGGGGGATGGGTAGGTGGGTGGGTGTGTGCAATTAGTGCTGGTGCCTGTGGAGTCTGGAGGATGGTATCAAATTCCCAGGAGCTGGAGTCACAGGTGTTTGTGGGACTCCTGCTGTAGGTGATCCTCTGCAAGAAGAGTAGGTGCTCTTACCTTATGAGCCATCTAGCTCTCTCTTCAGCACTATGGAAATAATCCCACGTTTCTGTTCATTCTTTTCTCCTTTTGTATTTCAAACAAACTGGAAAGTTCTAAAATTGAAAATAACTATATACACTGAAGACCTTAGTTAATATTTTTTACTTTGTTACATGTCTATGCATCCCTCAGAGCCATTCCTCAGTCCATCTTTTTCTTTGGTGAAATTTTTTTTTTGAGACCAGGTTTCACTGTGTGGCCCTGGCTGTCTTGGAACTCTCTCTGTTGATCAGGCTGGCTTTGAACTCACAGAGATTCCCCCTGTCTCTGCCTCCCAAGTACTGGGATCAAAGGCTTGTGCCACCACGACCTGGTTTCTTTGGTGATTTTAATGAAAGTTGCAAACACCAGTGCACTTTACCCCTAAACTCTCCAGCATCTGTATCCCAAACCCAAGTTCAGCATCTGGTTGGAGGGTTTTTTCTTGCTGAAGCAGTGTCTCATGCAGTGAAGTAGCCCATGCTGGCATTAACATTGCTATGTAGGTAAGGATGAACTTAAACTACTGATCCTCCTCCCTCCACTTCCTTGCTGCTGGAATTATAGGTATGTGTCACCACACTCAGCTCTCAAGATTTGCTTAGCGTTCTTTTATGTACAATTTATTGACAGGAAACTGCACCAACTTTGAATGAACCAGTTCAGGCATCTTGACGATATGTTGTTGTCACCCCACCCCCAGAACATGCCCTCTTGCTCCTTAGCCTAGAGGGCTTTCAGCAGCTCCAGACCCTCCTATTCCCCTTGTACATTCCCCATAGGCATTCCTTTGCTCCAGACAGTGGTTCCTCCAGACAACAACCTCTCCTTGTACTTGATTCCCAGGTGCTGTTCCCTTCTCTGCTGGCTCACTTCTAGTTTACATGAACCTGGAGAAAATCTGGAATGGACCTCGGGACCGCTTCTCTCACCTGCAGAACTTTGCCAATGGCTGCATGGCTGCTGCTGTGAGCCAGACTCTTTCCTTTCCCTTTGACACCGTGAAGAGAAAGATGCAGGTGCGGAGCACAGGGGGTGGGTGAAGCATTTGCCGCTAGGTAACCACAAAGAACGTTAGAGTCTACCCATCCCCATTCTGCCCTACAGCCCACCACTGATGCTATGTTTCTACAGAGCTCAGGGCTGCTTAGACAAATACTGTGCAGGCTCAACACTTCTGCTAACCTAGCTATCTTCTAGAAAACTTCCATATAAGTCTCCCTTTCCTTTCCTGGCCCCTGAATACATCACTTACAGTTCTCCTTCCTGCAACGCCAGAAAAGGACATTGCAGAATGCAACCTGCTAACGTGCCCTTTTGATGCCACCACATGGAAGACATAGCACTCTTTCTTGTCACCGTGTCTTCCCATAGTAAAACTGACTGGCTGGAACTCAAATAAACCAAGAGCCAAGCATGGAACAGCAAGGGTTCTCAGGAAGAAACTGCATTTCAAACAGGTGCTATCTTAGTGCAACTGGCCATGCACTGTCCTAACAATTACCCTGGGAAACATGTTCACTATAGAGCACAAAGGCAAAAGCAGACAGTAAAGACTGCAAAATGAAGAAGTAGCTTAGCCTAATGATCAGTTGATATAACATGAGGGCCTTGATTACAGCCACATGTGGGTAATCAGAATCCAAGAAAGACTGTTGGTTTTGTGCCTCCTCCTAATGTCTGCCTCCTTAGCCTCTGTTATATGATCTTTGTGTCCCTGAAGCTCTGGGTCGAAATTAATTTGGGGTCATTTGCATGTGCAACTTGAAATGAGTAGTCCCCCTAGTTGGTTTCTCCATGTGACTCAACTTGTCCCTCCAGCTTCTCAATGCTCCTCCCCACTTCCTGTTTCCCTGCTACAGTATTCTTTGACCAGTCTGGTCAGTACCAAAAAACCTGAAGGTACTTGACTTACCAATGCTGTCTTCAGATATGACGACACTCCTCTCTGCTACTCCGATCCACAAAACATCTCATCTGTCTGGGTTGCCTTTTTCCTGTCCTTGTCCAGATGAACCACTGCCACGTTGGTGTGACTGTAGTGCAGGTACAAAATTAAGTCTCCTTAGTACTACTTAAAATGAACATAACTTCTGGTTTAAAAAATAATGCACATATTAAAACATGGTTAAGATGGTTGATCTCACAGTGTGTATGTTTGACCGAAATAAAAAAGTAATATACATGTTTTTGGAAAAATAGGAAAATAATTAATTATTCTTAGGCCAACATGCATAGATTGTAAGTTACTAGTTTTTCTTCTATGTATGTTCATATATTGGTATCTATGATTTTATAGGGAAATTGTGTTCAGACTATAAATAAAAGTTAGTAATCTGCTTTTTTCACCTATCACATAGCAGATACAGCTCCAGGCCATTAAGTGTTTAATTATGAAATATTATTTCACCATATGAATGAATTAGAAATAGTTAAAATTTCTAAGTTTTTAAATAATGATGCTAATACTAATTCTTAAATACAACAACACTGTAATGAAATCTCTTGTGTTTTACCCGTTATATCCCTAGAAATTGACATACAGGTCATAAGACCTAAATAAGTCTAAAGCATTCTACTTCTACTGAGCTACATCCCCTGCCCTTACATTTTTGTGTGTACTAGGATCTCCATAAGTTAGCCGGGCGTTGGTGGCGCACGCCTTTAATCCCAGCACTCGGGCGGCAGAGACAGGTGGATCTCTGTGAGTTCGAGGCCAGTCTGGTCTACAAAGCGAGTTCCAGGACAGCTTCCAAGATAATACAGAGAAACCCTGTCTCGAAAAACCAAAAAAAAAAAAAAAAAGATCTCCGTAAGTTGCTAGGGCTGGCCTTAATCTTCCCAGGTAACCCAGGAAAGGCTTCAAACTATTTGAGACTCCCTGCCTCAGCCTCCAGGGTCTAGGGTACTGGCATTTTAAGTATAAGCTACACACACACACACACACACAGAGAGAGAGAGAGAGAGAGAGAGAGAGAGAGAGAGAGAGAGAGAGAGAGAGAGAGAGAGAGAGAGAGAGAGAGGAGTCTCTCCCCCACCCACCTGGTTTACTGGTTTTTTATTTGTTTTTAAACAGGGTCTCTCTATGTAGTCCTGACTGTCCTGTAGACCAGGCTGGCCTCGAACTCACAGAGATCCGCCTGCCTCTGCCTCCCAAGTGCTGGGATTAAAGGTGTGCACCACCATTCCCAGGCTCGTAATGAAATTTACACTTCAAAAAGTTAGAGGCTTTCATTTGCACCAGCAGTAAGGGAGAGTGGTCTAACTCCTGTCACTGACATCAACTATCATTTCTCACGTCATTGTGAATTCAATAGCTGAAAATGTGCTTACATTGCTTTAATCTGAATTCATTGATTATAGGTGAGGCTGTACATTTTTCACAGTTGCCCCTTGCATTTCTTTATAATTTTATATGCCCTTTGCCAATTTGGGGGGTTATATAGACTTTCCTATTGATTGGTAAAAGAATTTTACATATTAAAGGTATTAACCTTTGTCATGCATTGCACATTCTCTTCCATGTCATATCTTCTAACATTTAACTTAATGCTGCTTATGTGGGAAGTTTTTGAGTTACAGTCTCACAGTATAACCCAGGCTGGTCTGGAGTCACTATGTAGCCAGGCTGGCATAAAACTTGTGGCAGTCTTTCTTCTCCGCCCCTAATTGCTGAGATTACAGGCATACACCACCTCTCTCATCTCTGTTTATATGTTATGGTGTATATATTTTGAAATTTTATGTAACTATGTACTTTTGCTCTTGCTTTTTTGTCTGTAACTTTACTTCTGTGTTTTAAAGATCTACCCATACAATCCTTTTTAGTCAGTGCTTACAGAATAGAGAATCTCACACATGCTAGGCAAGGGCTCTACTAATGAATTACATCCCTAACCCCCAACTCTATGGTTATTCACCAGTTTGTTCCTTAAATACATTTTACTATAACTTTAACGCTTAGCACTTTAATACATTTAGAATTTGTAGTTTGCCAATTGCTTATGAACCATTTTAAAATAGTCTTTGTTTTCTCAACTACTTTGTGATATGACTTTCACCACATAGTAAGTACATGTTTTCCTAGGTTCTCTGTGTCTGGGCTGAGCGTTCTAATCTCAGCACCATCCTCCTTTGGCTCTCACACCTTTGTAACACCCTCGAACTTGACTGATCTTCAGAACACCGCCTTGGTTTCTCTAAGTCGTTTGCCTCCCTGATAAACTTCAAATCTGCCTTGTGCTGAGGGTTGGAATGACAGTACAGTGCAAATTTACAGTGGTTTGTGTAATACAGTCCATCTTTTCTTGAGGACCACAATCTGTCCCCTCCTTCAGTTTCAGTTCTCTTTCCTTTTCGGTTTAATCATATAAGATCACCACTATCCAACCTCTTTAACATATTCAAATAGTAACCAGAGGTTTCAGAAAAGTAACTTTCTTCCCAAAAATCTTCATATTCTTTCTAGAAAAGCTTCCTTTTTGCAGTGCTGAGGATGAACTCTCAGGCCTCACGCATGCTAGCTGGATGTGCTACCACTGAGTTACAGCTCAAAAGATACTTCTAAAAGCTTCAGAGGAGTGCTGGAGACTTGCCAGATCCCTCTTTTTATCTCCTTGGCTACCAAGCACCCACGAGGTGCACATATATGCCGCCAAAGCAGCCATACACACAAAACTATAAAATACACCTTTTTAAACGTTTGTAAAGCGCTCCAGAGAAGTACTGAGCGAGTATGGAAAGTATGACGATAGCCTAAGATTTTACTCATTGTTAAAAATCCTAGATCTAGGGCTAAGGATGAGGTTAAGTGATAAAATAAAACACTTGCCTAATGTGTGCAGATCTGGGTTCAGTCTGTAGCTACACACACACACACACACACACACACACACTGAGGGGGGGCTGGATTACCTGACCCTGCCTTGATGTAAAGGGAGGAGCTTGGTCCTGCCACAATTTGATGTAGCATGCTTTGTGCAAGCCCATGGGAGGCCTGCTCCTTTCCGAATGGACAGAGAGGAGGGGTGGATGGGGCAAGTAGATGGACCAGTAAGGGGATTGAGGAGAAGAGGGAGGGGAAACTGGTGGGTATGTAAAATAAGTGAAAATGTTTTAAAAAAAGAAAAGCAAACAAAAGGAATCTCTCTCACAGGTGGTAGTAGCAACTCCTGCCGTCAATCCCAGCACTCGAGGCAGAGGCAGACAGATCTCTTGAGTTTGAGGCCTGCGTGGTCTACAGATTGAGTTCAATGACAGGCTGAACTACACAGAGAAACCCTGTCTTGGAAAAAAACAGTTCATGGTCAGCATGGTCTACAGAGTTTTAGTTCCAGGGTGGCCAGGGCTATGCAGAGAAACCCAGTCTCAAAACAAAACAAAACAAAACAAAAAGAATCTCTCTTACTTCCAGAGGCATTTTCAGTACTTTCTCACCTCTTACAATTGTGATTTTAGCGTAGCTTATGTAAAGTTTGATGATCTACCTCTAATGGACCTACTAAATCCAGAACCTTGAGACCTAGGACTAGGACTATTCATTAGAAAAGGTTTCAGGTGAAGTTCAGTAACATCTGGATATGAAGAGGTGAGATTACAGTCTTCTCCATAAACCTTCAGCTTTTACTTCTTTCTCTTTCTAGGAGCTAAAATAATGACTGCCTCTAGGAGACTTGTCTTAGTTAGGGTTTCTATTGCTCCGACAAACATCATGACTAAAAGCAAATTGGGAGGAAACGGTTTACTTGACTCACACTTCCAGCAGGCATGTCATACCCAGGTAGAGGACTAGAGTTTTAAACACATGCCTGGAGTTCAGGATACTTTGACTCATGAACTAACCTCTAAATTTGTATCTTTTCAAATGTCTTTTTAGAGAAATGAAATGCCTGTCCTTGTTTTGAGGGAGTACTTTGGATACTGAGTTGCTGTTTATCACTGCAGGAAGTCAGGACAGGAACCTGAAGGCAGGAGCTGATGCAGAAGCCACTGAGGGTGCTGCTTACTGGCTTGCTTCCCGTGGCTTGCTCAGCCTGCTTCCTTACAGGAGGACCCAGGACCACCAGCCCAGAGGTGGCCCAACCCACCATGGGGTGAGCCCTCTCACACCAATTGCTAATTAAGACAATGTCCTACAGCTGGATCTCATGGAGGCCTTTCCTTGACTGAGGCTTCTTCTCTGATGACTCCAGTGTGTGTCAGGTTGACACACAAAACTAGCCAGTACAAGACTCTGGTCAGTACTTCATTCCGTACTGGAATATACCCTTAACAGTCTGCCATTAACAAGGGTAAAATACATTTGGGAGTTAGAATTTGAGTGTAATCCTAACCGTTTTTACCTTTGTATAGGAACCTTCTAGATAATGCATACATACACAGAGCTTCAAGATACTGCATTCGGAGCTGAGTATGGTGACCTGTCTCTGTAATCTCAGTACTTAGAAGATAGAACCAAAAAGACCAAAACTTCAAGGTCATCCTCATCTATATAGCCTCAAGAAAACAACAAAAACACAGAAAATAGCTTTCAGATAAATGCAAAGTCATAGTGGCGCACACCTTTAATCCCAGCACTCAGGAGGCAGAGGCAGGCAGATCTCTGTGAGTTCGAGACCAGCCTGGAGTTCCAGGACAGCCTCCAAAGCAATACGGAGAAACCCTGTCTCAAAAAAAAACAAACAAAAGTCATAGTGGCTGTTTAAAAAAAATGCAATGTAATCAAGCTACAAAACAACAGTGGCATATAATTATGAATAACATCATAAATGCCATCTGAAAATATAGTAAGTCAATTAATAGGTATATTAGCAAGAATGTTATGTTCATGGGTTAATAAACATAATAACTTAAGACTGAGAAAAAATAAAATAAACATAATAACTTGTCCATACTATATTTTTTTAAATTAACACCCAGGACAGTGCTAGGTTCGTTTAAATGCAAACATGACATTACCTTCTGTGGCCACTAGGTGTCACTGCAGTAAATGCATGGTTTCTGAGCCGTGGAAAGGTAGAGACACCAACTGCACAATACCAGCTGAAAATCATTTTCAGTTAGGAGGGTAAGGGGCCAGAGGCAACAGGAAACACCTAAAGTTTTTTTCTTGTAAAGCACACAGTGCAAAATTCATCAAGAAGAGAGTGTCATAAAAACCATTTACCCCCACTGGATTAGGCAGGGTTTACCAACCTAGCTGTTGTGACCTGAACACAGTTAATGGTAACATTTGCATTCCATTGGTTTTCTTCATGGCACTGCCCAACATGAAGCAAATCAACAACAGGTGTCTGGTGGATAGCCAACTAAAAAGGGAATTTTCCCAACACCCACAGTGGCTGGTGCCTTTGTCTCAGTGCCTGCTTGTCGTAGTAGGCTTTTATCCAGACATCCGTGCATACAGTCTGTCTGTTTAATACCATACCAGGTTGGAACTCTTCTGAACATTAATGACAATAATCAGAAGTCTTGTTTAACCACCTGAGCCCTTCCTTCACCAAGCTTACACTCACTTTACTCTGTTTTTCCTTTTCTGGCTTGGCAGGCTAGAGGATGGAGAGGTAAATAATTTTAATACGCATGTGCATGTTTTGAGAGACTGTTTCTGGTGGGGAGAAGGGTCAGCTGCGTGCCCAAGAAAACATATCTCTACCTGATGTTTTCACAGACCATAATACCACCCTGCCTGAAATCTTCTCCACACTTCGGGGTATGTTAACCCAAGCTTTTCCAGATATAGCCTGGCCCTTCTGTCTGTATCTCCATACCTGGCCAAGAGAAGATACTGGTATTACTAAGTGTATTGAAGAAACAATACACTGGGCATAGTGACATGGCCCTTCAATTGCAGTACTTGGGAAGCAAGGACAGGTGAATCTCTGTGAGTTTGAGGATAGTCTGGTCTACAAAGCAGTTTCAAAACTAGCCAGAGCTACACAGTGAGACTTTCTCTCAAAAAAAAGGAGAAAAGAAAGGGGAAGGATTCAAGAAAAGAGAAAAGATGAGAGAGGTGTTGACAAAAATTAATTTATGTGGTTAATCTGTAAGCCCCTATTAGGGACCAAAGACTCCTAAAACCATATAACAGTTCCACAGGCAGGTGTGTGTGAGAGGATAAGACAGGCTGGGGACCCTGTCCTGGGAGTCTGCAGAGTAGCTGGTAGCATGGGACCTGGAGTCTGAAAGAGACAGGAACTCGGTCCATGTGTACCACCTCCCTCTCCACTCTGCCAGATACCCACTCTCATCGTCATACTTGGTATCTCCATATCATCAGATACAAACCCATGTGTCAGCCTGCTGGTTTATATCCCAGTGGACTTTGCCCCAACCACAGCTCACAAGGTAAGCAGGATTGGGCCAGGTCAGCATTTGAACTGAAAGTGCATGAAATGAAGGACAAAGGTGGGACCCAGGTGGCACAGCTGACTGAGCAGAGCACACATGCTCAGTGAATAAACAGAGGCCCCAGCCTGTTCAAACAGACTCCAGTCTGACCGAGAGGGTCACCAGCTTGAGCAACCTGTGCTGAGTAGGACACAGTCACTTCATTCATTCACTCATGTTCTCATGTTCCACGCTGGATCTTCAGCCTCAGCCTCAGCCCCCTCCTCAGTCCTGGGCCCATGGTTCTCACAGCCTGGTGGTCAGTGCCATTAGCTATGACATCTTCCTATCAATTCCAACCCACTGTATATCAAAGTTGATATTCTTCCCCCAAAACTGTCTTCTGAGGGTTTTCCTTTTCAGGGTCATCATTGTCCCAGACAGCCAAGCTAAGCATCAGAAGTTAGGATTGGCTCTACTGTATGTCCCCGCAACCAACCAATCCAAAGCCCAATTGCTTCTGCATTCCTAACTCAACCCCATGGGTCCTTTTTCTTCCTGCCCTGCTTCCAATCAAGGACTTTCAGCTCATACTGCAGCACATACTGGACTCTAGGATTGATTCTGGAAGCTCATCAGCACTGAGCAGGAAGATACAGCAAGCACTGGGCCAACTGTACGTTCATTATGTCATCTGATCCTTACAACAATTTACAAAGTGCCAAGTGAGCTCTGCTATTACTAAGCCTGTTTTATTACATGCCACAGTGCACTCACACAACTTGAGGGAGTCAGTGCTCTCTCTCTGTCCACCAGGCAGGTTCTGGAGCTTAAACTCAAGTTATCAGTCTTGGCAGCAAGCACTTTTACCTGCTGAGCCAGCCGTCTTGCTGATGGAGATGAGGAAACCGAGGCACTCAAAGGTTCTGTAGCTTACAAGCCCACCTTCAAGTAACTGAACTGGGATAAAGGCCAGGCAGTTTGCCTCCAAGATCGGCACTCATTTCAGTCCCAGCAGCCTATCCCGTGGGTTTCTTGCAGAACAAATGTTCTTTAGCCCTATCTGTGTTGCTCCTTCTCTATCACCTTTAGAGTATAAAGGACGGCCCATTAGTCTGGCATGTTTCCCTCACCAGCTTCGCTGTTCTTTTGTAGAGAGGCCCTTTGTATAGGGAGTTGCAAAATGAAATGTCTGTAGGAATTCAGAAGCAGTGTGGACAGGAGAGCTAGGGAAACCCAGATAACAGGCACTCAGCCCCAAACAATAAGCCTTCAAATACATTCTAAGCCATCGTGTCTTTTGAAAGCAGTCTGGAGAGCTAAACTCTGTGCTCAAAGAATGTGATTAGCATTTAAATATGCATACCAGAAAAGAGTGAAATGAGCTAGTGCCTGCTGTAGCTAAGCTGCAAACTCTTCTCCAAAGGGTGGTTGTCATTTAGAAATGCACACCCAGTTTTCAGGGGAGCCCCTAAATCCAGATTTCGATATCAAATGTTTATAATTTTCAAGGTTGCACATTTAAAAAGGTACTGACTTGGCAAAGCAAAACATGCCTTCTTTTGGCCTCTGCTTAATTCATGCATCCAGTTACAATAGTGAAGAGGTTCCCCTCCCCCAAGCCCTGAAGACCAAATGTATTTTATATTCCGGTCAACAGGCCTTTGTTCCTGCAGCTACCTCTGCCTCAGCTTCACTTCTGGGTCTGTAGAGGTTCAACTGAGCTTGCCTTGGTAGTAGTATCTGTTGCTTTTGTTTGCCGTTTTTCCCACCCCTAAGCACTTACTTTCAGATAACGGGTAAAGGCAGATATTTGACCCTTTGAGAACCACAGTGCAGGTACTCCAGACCACTCGGGAGGGCATTCTGGGGGAGAAGAAACTGAATTAACGATAGGGTACCTTCTCTGAAAAGGTAGATGCTGTTTTTCACTGACTCCCACTTCTTTCCCCATTTCCTGGGGCATAGTAGTTGTATTCCAAGAAGTTTGTGAGGGAATAACTCCTCTTTTTTTTCCAAGACAGGGTTTCTCTGTATGGTTGTCCTGGAACTTGCTCTTGTAGACCAGGCTGGCCTTGAACTCACAGAGATCTGCCTGCCTCTGCCCCCCCCAGTGCTGGGATTAAAGGTGTGTACCACCAATGCCCCCCAAATTCTTTTTTGTTGTTGTTTTGGTTTTTTGATTTGTTTTGTTTTTTTGAGGCAGGGTTTCTCTGTTGAAAAACTCCTCTTAAAGGATGTTGTTATCCTATCCATGGGTTGTCTGATTCTGACAATTTCCTTTCCATAGCATTTGCTCCTATCTCACCATTTTTATCTCAATATCATTGCTCTGGTGTCCCTTCCCTGTCAAAGCTACCTCCTGATACTGCCTCTTATTTTCCCAAGCAGTCTCCCTCAATCCCAGTATCTTTAGTTCACTTAACTTTGAGGGTCCCTACACTGGAACTCAGAAATGCAAAATGCTCTAGAGTCAGAAATGTTGAACATCCACATGTTGGAAAATTCCACAACTGACCTCATGTAAAGGGCTGCAAACAAAATACAGGCACACCAAAAAGATTGTAGATGGGGCTGGAGAGATAGTTACTACATATACACAAGGGCCTCAGTTTGAATTCTCCAAGCCCATATAAAGCTAGGCATAGTACTGTACATCTATAATTCCAGCACTCCTATGTTGTGATGGATGACAGAATTAAAAGAATCTCCAGAAACTCATGGCCTGGATAGCCTGGCATGCACATCAGTAAACAGAGAGGCTATCTCAAAAAAAATAGGAAACAAGGATCATATCTGAGATTTTCCTCTCACCTCCACACATAAGCCAAGGTATACATGTACTTGCACACATACACCATATACATATACATAGATATATAATAATAATAATAAAACTTAAAATTTAATAGCTAAAATAAAAATCGTATAAGACTGCATAAAGTTACCCTCATGCTAACAAGGTTATATGAAACATAGTCAATTTCATGCTTAAATTTTGCTTCCATTCAAAGATCTCCCATTATGAACAAATATTCCACATTTAAGAAATATTCAAAAAGCCACAGAGAAACCCTGTCTCGAAAAAACCAAAAAAAAATATTAAAAAAAAATAAACAAAAAAACCAAAAAACTTAAAAAAAAAAAGGCGGGGTGTTGGTGGCGCACGCCTTTAATCCCAGCACTCGGGAGGCAGAGACAGGCGGATCTCTGTGAGTTCGAGGCCAGCCTGGTCTACTGAGCGAGTTCCAGGACAGCCTCCAAAACAATACAGAGAAACCTATCTTGAAAAACCAAAAAAAAAAAAGAAATATTCAAAATTTTAGGCACTTCTTATCCCAATCATTTTTAGATAAAGGATATTCAACCTATGTAGCTCTCCTAGGGACCATGGCATAGGATCCCTTATATTATAAATATGTTTCCTTTCTCCAAGTTGCCTATGGGGACTATATGTTATACTTTTGTATATCCCTGTAACATGTAGTCTCACATAACAGGCACTTGATACTTGTTTAAAAATGAATGCTGTTCACGGCAGGCTTAGGAAATCTCCCTGTGAGTACAGAGTTGAACCCTTATGCCACTGAGTGAACCTCAAGTCTGAGTGCTTGTCCCTACACAGCTGAAGGTAAGAACACCCAAGTCTGCCCTCTTCCCAGACTGCTTCCCTAAAGAAACCTCTTCTCATCCCCTAATACTACCTTCGTGTGTTGTTCTGAGAATGTAGTCTCCTACCCTGTGCCATCCAGGGCCAAAAGCTGTTAACTGGTCAAGACTGGTGAATATGCTAAAAGGACAAGAACGTGCTAGGCTTGGGTCAAAAGCTTATAATCCCAACATCTGGGAGGCTGAAGCAGGAGGAAAAAACTTTCAGGATCAAAGTTTTCAGACCTGCCCGGGCTATAAAACAAGTTCAAAGCTAGTCTGGGCAATTTAGTCAGGCCATTTCAGCCAAATAAGAAAAGATACAGGAAAAATCTCTAGGATGCTTTCATTCGCACACTCTCCATGCATTCCGAACTCCCATCACTTTGCATGGGCCTGAAGGCAGTTGACCTATCACAATTGATAGTCCTTAGGTGACTGCTTTTGGGAAATGTAAGGATGTGCATGAACCTGTGCATGGGGGGGGTCAGAGGAGATAATAACAGTAAAAAGCCTGCCCTGGATTTAGGAACTGTAAGGACATACTACCATTTTCTGGTCAGATAATATGTACAAGGCAGATTCTTAACTCATTTAATCCTCTTTATCGACCTCCAGAATAAGTACTATCATGATTCTTGTTTCATGGGCGGGGCAATGAGGTCCAGAAAGGGGAAGCTGCTGGCCCAGGAGTCAGTCACACAGCTAGTATATGCTAAAGCTGGCCCTCTCCTTCCTCGGAGATTTCCTTTGTCTACCAAGAAGTTCAGTGCTCTTTCCTAAATGCTAGGTAATTACCTAATTTAGACTTTAGTTCCCTTGCTTCTACTCTACTGAGAAGGGGGAAGCTGAACCTTAAGAACTGGCAGCTTGAGATTTCAGTGCCCAAACAATTGAGAAAAATAACAATGTGACAAGGTGCAGAAACTGACAGACAGAAGCCTTAATCCATTCAAGCTGCTCTAGCATAGTAGACAGGTGGCTTCTGAACAATGAAAATGGGTTTCTCATAGTTCTGGAGGCTGGGAAGTTCAAAGTCAAGGCAAATTTGACATCCGGTGAGTGCCCACTTCTCATTCTTAGATGGCACCTTCGTGTTGTATTCTTCTGTGGTGGAAGAAGCAGGACAACTCCTGGCGTGGCTTTCACTAATCTCATTCCTGAGGGCTCTGGCTTCGTGATCTTACTGCCTCCCCAAGGCTTCACCTCCTGAAACATTACATGGTGTCAGGGTGTCAACACAGAAATTGGAAGGAAGCACAAAGTTTTGGATATAATAAACCTTGTTTTAGCCAGAGCTGGTTACCTCTAATTAAAATGGGAAAAAATTTTTTGGGGGGTGGGGGTTCAAGACAGGGTTTCTCTATATTGTTTTTGAGGCTGTCCTAGAACTCACTCTGTAGACCAGGCTGGCCTCAAACTCACAGAGATCCACCTGCCTCTGCCTCCCCAATGCTGGGATTAAAGGCGTGCATCACCACTGCCTGGCGGGGGGGGGGGGAAATTCTTATGAAAACTATACTATTCTGGACATTGGTATCAGCAGCCTGGCACTGGAAGCCCCATTGGTAGCCTTAACAATTGTAAAAAGGAACAGAGCACAAAGACAGATCATTAAGCTACCATGAGCCTTTGGCCAGTCGCAGACTGATCATGGCTGGTCAGAGGACTAGGAAGGAAGTTCTTAGAAGCATGGAGGGAGCAGAAGCGAGACCCCAGGAAAGGTAAGGAAATTGCTGTCCTGGCCACTAGTAGAGAATGCTAATGGAGTTTAATGGTTCTGCCTACTTGAACATCTCCTGGATGGCAGAGCATCTATTCTTAATAAGAAGGAGACCACTGACCTGTCCTGAAGTACAGCTTCAGGGTGGTGACGGAGACTGTGACTTTTCCCTTTGTTTCAGTCTCACTGACAGCTGGCCCCTTTGAGGACTCACTTCTTGTTGATCAGGGAAACAGGACTGTCCCTAGAGGGTTATCTCTATCTTTGGTGTTACTAACACTTCGGTAGCAAATATACTTGTAATATTGTTTCATATATATGCAGATATATCCAGAGTAAATTCCTTGAGGTAGGAGTATTTTGACCAAAAGGGGAGCAACAAATGCTCTCAACCTCTGAGCCATCCCTTCTGATTCTTAGACCTTTGGGTTTCGTCACCTAAGTGAATCAAATAGTTAGTCATAGTTCTAAAATACTGTTTCTTTACTCTATACATTGTTCCTCCAAGCTTTTTGGTGTCATACAAAGGAGTCCTTTTTGACATGCATAAAGCCCTAGGTTCCATCCTAGCACTGAATAAACTGCATTTGGTAGTACATACTTGTAATCGCAGCACTCAGGTAGTGGAGACAGAAGAATCAGAAGTTCAAGGTCATCCTCAACTATATAGTGAGTTCAAGAGTAGCTTGGATTACATGAGACCATGTCATCAAAAAATATGCAAGTATATGTGGTAGTTTGAAAGAAAATGGCCCCCATAGGCTCTTAGGGAGTGGCACTATTAGGGGGTGTGACCTTGTTGGAGGAAATGTGTCAGTAAGGAGTTGGCTTTGAGGTCTCTGATGTTCAAGCCAGGCCTAGTGTGGCTACTGTCACTTTCCGCCACCTGCAGATCCAAATGTAGAACTCTCAGCTCCTTGAGACAGCACCATGTCTGCCTGCATGCCACCCTACTTCCTGCCTTGATAATGGACTAAACCTCTGAACTGTAAACCAGTCCCAGTGAAATGTTTTCCTTTATAAGAACTGCTGTGGTCATGGTGTCTCTTCACAGCAATAAACCTCTAAGAATATATATATATGTGTGTGTGTGTGTGTGTGTGTGTGTGTGTGTGTGTGTTTGTTTGTTTGTTGTTTACCTATGTCAGTATTCATAGAAAGAATATTTAGCAAACGCTACCTCTTCTGAAAGGCCTGGGAAGTTTTTTGAAACTTTCAAATGCTTAACTTTGAAGTGTTTTTTTATTTCCTTTCTCTCAATACATAGTAAGCGCCTACAATGTGAAAGAAATGTTAGTAGTTTTTTGGGAAAGACCCATGTCAAGACAGATGTGGTCACTGGCCCTGTGGTATTTTCAGTTCCAGCAGGATAGGGGCTAGAAAGAGAACACAAGCAAGAAATAATTATACACGTCAAATCATTATGAAATTCTTATCAAGTGCCATGAAGAACATGGTAACTAAAAGTGTTTGATGAGCTTAGTCTAGGATCTAAGAAGATTTCCCTGAGAAGATGCTATTTCTTCTGATCATTATAACAAACATGGCAAGACAGAGAATGTGGCAGGTTTCAAGTCCTAGAGGTAGGAAGGCACATGGAGTTGTGCCAGCTGCAAGGATTGTATAAGCTGGGAAGGGTCTTCAAGGTCATTTCATTTCAGTCTCCTTAGTACACATGTGAGGAAACTAAGGTCCAAAGACTTAGTCAAGGTTACACTGATAGTGACAGAACCAGGCCCAGTTCTCCTGATTTCTTTTCAGTGATGTTATACTGCAAGATCTAACGTGCTCCTCCTGCGGGCTGGGGATTGGAAGCAGGTGGCTACATTTTAGTAGCCTACAAAGTTGCCTGGGTTTGTGTAGAATAAACCTTACATGCAGGCCCTTGTGTCTAGCCATCTACTATGTTCTATTTCTCTTTGCTAGTAAGCTACAATTTAAGGACACAGCAGTCTAGCATTCCAGTCTAGCAGGTTGGTTTGGTCTTCAGCATACTTGTCTCTTCTCCAAGTTTAGATAATTGTAATAATGACCTTAGTGATGGTGGTTACTTATTTAGTGCTTGCTCTATATCAAGTAGCGTTTTAAGCACTCTGCGTGTACTAAATTATTTAATGTGAACAACAATCCTATAAGGTACATGTTATTATTACTCCATTTTATGGGGAGAAAGGGGGCTCAGGCAGATCAAGGCATTTGCTGAAGGTCACAGGCTAGTGAGTTATTACAAGCTGTCTAGCTCCACTGCCTGGTGTAAACATGAAAGTAGCAAGCCCTGTGGGGAGGCACAGTCGGATTTCCTTGAGGGAATGCATGGGACAGTAAAGCTGAATGAAATCAAGTGTAAGTTCTTTACTGAAACACAAAAGAGCGCTGAAGGAATCCAGAAGAGGACTTGCTTAGTATATACAGGGTCCTGAATCTCCAGCACCACAGGAAAAAGAGTACCACAGAATCAACATAAGACCATATCAAGGACAAAGACACCTTATGGTCCTGTCCATCACAGTCCCTCAAATCAAATGCCTCTGGTCACTTGCCTGCTCATCTATGTCTAGACCACCAGCATCCTGTTGGCTTCATGTTCCTTTATCCCATGTTCTCCCTGTCCCTCCCTCCCTCCCTCTTCCCCCACTCTGTGAGTTAGTCTGGGTTGATGCATGTCACATGTCTGCACATGTGTGTGGAGGCAGGGGTCAACAATGAGTGTTGTTCCTCAGAAGCCTTCCACCTTGTTTTTTTAGAGTCTCTCATTGGGACCTCGCACTAGGCATCTTGCAGAACAGGCATCTTACCGCTTGTACTCTATCTCTGGCCCCTCTTCATTCTTTTCTCTGAGACAGGGTCTCACATATTCCAGACTGGCTTTGAACTTGGTGTTAGCTGAGGATGACCTTGAAGTTTTGATACTGCTGTCTTCACCTCCCCAGTGCTAGAATTACACACATGTATCACCATGCCCAGTTCATGTAGTGCTGGTAATGGAGACCAGGGCTTTGTTAGATGGCTAAACAAGCACTCCAACCACTACACACCTACTGAGCTACAACTCCAGGACCCTTGCCTTTCATTTCTTGTGACTTTTGACTCCCGTTCTGTAATCCATGTCACTTGTCCCTCAGCTTTTCCTGAACCCACAAACTTCCTTTGATTCATAATGCTGAGGATGAATACATGGAAAGGCAGCTGGGGGCGGGCACAGAAATTTCATGGCCTAAAACCTGCACTCCTCCTCAGCCTGCAAAGCTAGTCTTCAGAGTGTCCATGGCTCATCCTTCATAACACCTTTTTCAAACCTCACTGCACACCCATCGCCTCCTCACTGCACACCCATCGCCTCCTCACTGCACACCCATCGCCTCCTCACTGCACACCCATTGCCTCCTCACTGCATACCCATCACCTCCTCCCTAGGCAGGTAACCTGGCTTGCTCTTTCATGGGGAAAATAGTGTGATAAAGTGACTCAACCTTTTGCTTCTTTACATGATATCCCTCCTTCATGGTGGTGCCCTGGGTGTCACACCTCAAGTTCATCTTGGGCACCTTTCCTCCTTAACAGATGAATAAACTCAAGTCCCACCCATGTAAAACACAGTTTCTTCCTCTAATCCTAACTTGGCCTTTCAAAACATTGCCCACTCTTTTATCCCCAAATCTAAACAGTCAAATTAGCTTGCTTTGTGCAGTTCTAGGGGTTTTGGATGGATGTATAGATTTGTGTGACTACCACCACAATCAAGACAGATCTGTTCTGTCAATCCCCAAATTCTCATGCACTCCTTTGCAGTCAAGGCCTCTAAGAGCACTCCTAAGAGGGTAACATTTCATGTGTTCTCCATGCCCGTAGTGTTATCTTCTGAAAAAGCTCACTCCGTGTAGTGCCTCTGAACTTTATTCATGCTGTTGTATTCAGCGACAGCTCGTTATATCTATTTTTGAGATTTATACTTAATTATATGCATGTGTATATGTCTATGTGTGACTATGTATGTGTGAGTGTGGATGCCTACAGAGATCAGAAGAGGGTATTGAATTTTCCTGGAGTTGGAGTTACAGGCAGTTGTGAGCTACAATGTAGGTTCTAGGAACTTAGCCCTCTGCAAGAGCAGCAAGTGCTCTTAACCACTCAGCTATATCTCCAGTCCCCAGCTTGTTCTTTCTTTTTCCTACAGACTTGTTTTAATTTAAATTATATGGGGGTGGGTATACACACATGTGTGGGGGTACCTGCTCAGCCTCATAACTACTGTGACTAACGACTTGCTGAGATTGAGCATTTGATGATGACAGAGTTTTATCAGTAGTTCTGGGTGGTTATGAAGTCCATGGGGACCAAAGGTGTAAAAGTGAGGATCCCTGAGGATGTGGGCCAGACTGAGACTGGCACAGACTGTCCTTTTTTGCATTCTTTTATTCTTTGAAAAGTTTATACACATATACAAGTATCTTAGTCATATCCACCCCCATTCTCTTCTTCCAACTCCTCCTGGGCCATCCCCACAGCGTATCTCCCCTCCCCAACTTACTGTCTTCTTTTATCATTTCTATTTCTTTTTTTCCTTTTCTTTTTAAAATTACCTAAGATGATGGTGAGGCTTGGCTAAACTGAACCACCAGGTGTCAGTCTCCAGTAAATGTAGAATGGTGGTCAGGAGGTTCATAGATGACAACAGGACAAGGATATGGAGTAGCTTGAGCCCCAGATGAGCACTTTTGACATGACACTGAAACAGACAGCAATAGGCAACCAGAAGAATGCCCCAACCACTCTGTTCTCAACCGTGTGACATTTGTGCTGTGGGAAAACAAACCCCTACTTGGTGGTTTCCCAGGAGAGGGATCAGTTAAGATAAGAAGTCAGGAGGGCAACAAAAAAGGTTAAAGTCTGGGGCTAGAAAGATGGCTTAGTGGTTAAGAGCACTGGCTGCTCTTCCAGAAGACCCAGGTTCTATTCCTAGTACTTACCTTGCAGCTAACAACCATCTATAACTCCAGTTCAAAGGGGATCTGATGCTCTCACATGTACATGGTACACAGATACACGCAGACAAATCTCCCATATAGGTAAAATAAAAATAAATAAATTTCAAAAAGAGGGTAAAGGCATAAAAGTATATAACAGGTCTACTGGGCATAGGGTAGGATGGAATGTAAGTATGAAATTGAGTCTATCTAAAATGCATACTTTCTTTAAAGAAAAATACACCACAAATATGTGAACAAGGCATCATGCATGGTTATATAGCAAATCAGTATTTGTTCTAAGTTAGGCATGGTGAGTCACACCTGTTATCTCAGTATTCAAGACGCTGAAATAGAAGTTTGGTGAAATCCCAGCCAATCTGGGCTACATAAGAAATAACTTGTCTCAAAAAAAATTTATTCTATCTGGGCAGTGGTGGCTTTAATCCCAGCACTCTGGAATCAGAGGCAGGCAGACCTCTGTGAGCTCAAGGCCAGCCTGGCCTACAGAGAGAGTTCCAGGACAACCAACGCTATTACATGGAGAAACCCTGTCTCAGAAAAATGTGTTTTTTATTCTAAGACCATGGAAGAAAATGAACTCTGAAGCTACTATTTTTTGCCACCATCTTGGCACAGAACATCCAGAATTCAAACCTGAGACCCTGCTTATTTTGTGTAGGACATAAACTTCCACCTACTTAAATCACTTCCTCATACCTTCTGTTTGCTGCCAGGCTCAAAGTCCTTATCTTCCCTACTGTGGAGGAGTAGATGTCCATTTCACAGGAGCAGTGGACTGCTTCCGGCAGATAGTGAAGACCCATGGGGCACTGGGGCTCTGGAGCGGCCTGACAGCTAACTTACTAAAGGTGAGAAGGGTGGCCAGTTTCCTGCTTCTCTGCCTCTTCCAGTTCTTTCCCTTCCTTATCACCTCACTACAATTTACATGAAAACATCCCATCTACCACTGATGGACATTGCCCATCAACCCTGATGAATGCAGTGGTGGAGAATCTAATACCCCATCATAGAAGAGTTGAGCATTTAGTCTCAATTAGAATTTTCCAACAGTGGAACACATGGACCGCTAAGGAGAACACAGACCCCATCTAAAATTGTCTGCAGAAATATAAATACAATACATGAATGCATCATATTTCTATAGACTTCCATAACCAGAGTTGAGAACAAGGGCCAGGCAGTGGAGGTGCACACCTTTAATCCCAACACTCGGGAGGCAGAGGCAGGTGGATCTCTGTGAGTTCGAGGTCAGCCTGGTCTACAGAATGAGTTCCAGGATAGTCTCCAAAGGTACAGAGAAACCCTGTCTCAGAAAACAGAAAGAAAGAAAGAAAGAAAGAAAGAAAGAAAGAAAGAAAGAAGGAAGGAAGGAAGGAAGGAAGGAAGGAAGGAAGGAAGGAAGGAAGGAAGGAAGGAAAAGAAAGAAAGAAAGAAAGAAAGAAAGAAAGAAAGAAAGAAAGAAAGAAAGAAAGAAAGAAAGAAAGTGAAACAAAACCTGGACTAGCTAGTTCACATGTAAATATCCAATCAAGACCAGCATACAGTGATGAGCAGTGGCAGATCAACTACATGCATATTAATGTAGACCCAGTGCTTGCCCGGGACATGCCCTTCAGAGGCTGTGACATCCTTCCTCCCCTCCTACACTGCACCAGTTTTCCTTTTTCTTTCTTTTCTGTTTTTCTTTTTTTTCTCTTTTTTTCTTGTTTTGTTTTTTGAGACAGGGTTTCTCTGTGGCTTTGGAGGCTGTCCTGGAACTAGCTCTTGTAGACCAGGCTGGCCTCAAACTCACAGAGATCCGCCTGCCTCTGCCTCCCGAGTGCTGGGATTAAAGGCTATACAGAGAAACCCTGTCTCCAAAAACAAAACAAAAATTAAATTAAAATTAATTTTTTTTTGGTTTTTCGAGACAGGGTTTCTCTGTGGCTTTTGGAGGCTGTCCTGGAACTCGCTTGGTAGTCCAGGCTGGTCTCAAACTCACAGAGATCCGCCTGCCTCTGCCTCCCAAGTGCTGGGATTAAAGGCGTGCGCCACCAACGCCCGGCTAAAATTAATTTTTTAATTTAAAAAGTTATTTAACATGTAGACTGGAGAGAGAGCTCAGTGATTGAGTGTTCGCTGCTCTTCCAGAGAACCTGAGTTCAGTTTCCTGCACCCATGCTGAGAGGCTCACAACCCTACATAATTGCATCTCCTAGGGATCCAATAACCTGTTCTGGACCCTATGGGTACCCACCCCTACACAGACACACAGAAACATAAATAAAAGTACATCTTTTTTAAAACATAATTTAACACAATTTTCATTTTCTGTTTAACAGGTAGTTCCATATTTTGGAGTTATGTTTAGCATGTTTGAGTTCTGTAAGAGAATTTTTCTTTATCAAAATGGTTACATCCTGTCCCCACTGACCTATAAATTGACTCCAGGGGTGGACCAAAGTTTGAAGCCCCAAGAGTTACGGGAATTAAAGAAGTTCTTCAAACACAGAAAACTGGAATAAAAAAACCCAACTCTGTAAAGCTGCTGGAACTTCCGGTGTTGCGGCAGTCACAGATGAACATGTGAACATCAGGAGGAATGGAAGTGTACTTTTGCCTGCTGCTCTTGGAAATGAGACCACTAGGCCATACATCACTTCAGAACCCCAAATTTTCTCTGTGGATACCTGTACCTTGAAAAGCTTTTCTGGGGCTGGAGAGATGGCTCAGAGTTTAAGAGCACTGACTTGCCCTTCCAAAGGTCCTGAGTTCAATTCCCAGCAACCACATGGTGGCTCACAACCATCTATGATGAGATCTTGTACACTCTTCTGGCCTGCAGACATACATGCAGGCTGAATACTGTATGCATAATAAATAAATAAATAAATCTTTTTTAAAAAATTAACCTTTAAAAAAAGAAAGAAAAGCTTTTCTAACGCTGCTCTGTCACAATGGCATGGCAGCAGACTTTATAAGGAGGGCTATTGGCAATCAGATGTACAATACACCGTCTGAGGAGGAACACCCTGGGAGGCAGCATTGCTGCTACACTTCAGAGCATCTTGTAACTAAAGTAGCAGAGCAGACAGCATGTCACAAGCCCAGTCACGAGAGTCCAGGTGAGAGAGGTCAAGTTTCTCTCACTTTGACCTGTGGCTTCCCTACACAGACTTCTTCAACTCCTAACCACCGTGTAGGTTAGGCCTTATCAAAAACCCCAAATGAAAACTTTTTTTTCCCAAGAGGTGTTGCTCCAAAATCCAGGCTACCCACAGAGACATGATCTTCCTGCCTAGCCTCCCAGACAGTGGAGAATGCAAGTGTGTGCTGCAATGCTCATCTCTAGAACCCTCATTCCTTATTGCATCAAGCACCCCAAACTTGGAAGCTTCAAGAAGGCAGTTTCCCCATGACTTCTGAAAGATGCACTGCCACCCTGACTCGTCATGCATGGTTCCAGCGGCCTTAATTATCTGCCTTTTACCTTGCTTTGTAAGCCTACTCTGAAAATAAATTATTCAGCCATCTTCCTTATTCTCACAATATGTCCTAGTTGCCTAGAAAGGATAGATAGAACATATGACACAATATTCCCCCATATTACCATGAAATAAAAGTCCTTTAGGCTAATCACCCATTGGAAAGGCTTTTATTTGGTTTTTATTTTAATGTAATCGAATGAGGATTATGTGTAAAATTCATATAACTACAATTTCACTTTTCAAATAGTACCAATCTATGCACTTTAAAATGTATTACTATCTAACAAGATGTGGTATTCCCCATCTGCAATCACAGCCCTTAGAAGGCTAAGGCAGGAAGACCATGAGTTCAAGGTGAGCCTTAGCTACATAAGTAAGTTCAAGTGAAATCTTCTGTCATAAAACAATAAGTAAATAAATGTATATTCTCATATGAATTCACATATATTTTCTGTTACTTCCCTCTACCATATATATGAAGGTTTAAGTCTAAAATTTTTTCTTTAATTTTTTAAAAGGGAGAAAAATGTCAGTTACTCCTAATCAAAGTTATAAAATTGTAGTTAAGTTCTCAGACCTTTGTCTGGTTTAAATACACAAAATAACTCATTTTTCCAAGTCCTGTAGCAGACTGTTTTGTAGGGAGTGAGGCTGACATGTTTAGCCTGATTTGTTAGTGTTTGCGGGAGGCAAATACTGCATCCAGTCAATATTCCATGCTTGTCCATTGCTATTTTCTTTAAAGGACAAAACGAAATTTCAGAAAATGCTGAATTCTATAAGTGTATTTTTTGACAGAAGTTGTAATCTAACCTTAGATTATTCACACGTTAGTATTTCTTCTGTACATTCTTCCACAAATATAATATAGATGCCATTTGGCACAGAGGTATTCTGTGAGCTGCAAGGTTTTGTTGTTGTTTGGTTGGTTGGTTTGGTTTTTGGTTGTTGTTTTGACTTGGTTTGGTGTTTTAGTTTTTGAGGGTTTTTTGGTTTGTTTGCTTTTTGTTTTGTTTTTTGTTTTTTTGTTTTTGGAGAGGGTGTTTTGAGACAGGGTTTCTCTGTGTAGTTTTGGAGCCTGTTCTGGAACTCACTATGTAGACCAGGCTGGCCTTGAACTCAGAGATCACCTACCTCTGCCTCCTGATTGCTGGGATTAAAGGTGAACACCACCACTGCCTGGCTTGGTTTTGTTTTTTAAAGAGGTATTTTTAGTTATTCATGGTTGGAATAAGGATATGTGTATGTGAGTGCAGGTGCCTGTGGAGACCAGGGGCATCAGATCCCTTTGGATCTGGAGTTACAGGTGGTTATTTGCTGCTGGCCATGGTTGTGGGGAACCAGATTCAGGTCCTATTCTATATCAGTATATGTGCTTCCTAGTTGAGCTATTTCTCCAGCCTCACTGACTTATGATTTCTTCCAATAAAATCAAGAATATGTCTCAGTTTCCTGTAGTTTCAGAACAACTCCTTAAAATTCTAATTCTGTTGCTAAAGTGAACTTGGAGCTATTTTTATTTCCTTAGAGGTGGGACAAGATGCTCTGCCTTCCTAACTTCTGGTTACCAATGTGTACCACACAGGACTAGGAACTTTAGAAGAATTATAGGGAAGTGTGTTATGATATCCACCCAGGAGTAAGTTAAGGAATAAAACACACCTGCATCCATGAATGACTAGGATTACAAAGCAAACACTAGCACAGTATGACAGAGTAGTGTTTCCTACTGCCAAGATTGCCATGGGGCTCAATCTAGGAGTGCTGAATAAGTGGCTAAAAGGCTCAGCACAGGGGATGGGGGCTATAATAAGTAGGGGCTCTGAGGTAATGTGTCTTGAATTAAGGTTTAGGGTTTTGGGGTTTTGTAAACAGGGTTTCCTGTGGGGGAAAGTGAAAAATCTTTCAATTCAGGATTCAGGGACGGCCATTCTGAGAGGTGGCATTGCAGATAAGACCTAAAAGGCAAGAATGAGCCAACCACATAGAGAACCAGGAAGAACGTCTCCAGCAGTGAAAAGAACAAGTGAAAATGTCTCGTTGTCCAAAAACAACTCAGTGAACAGAAAGGACGGGAATGCAGCCAGAGTGTGGTCACTGACTGAAGGAGTATGAGACGCTGAGAGGCAGGGCATTTCCATCTGTTTGACTGTAATACTGGAGATAAAATCCAGGGCTTTGCACAGGTCAGGCAGGCCCACTGCCACTGAGCTACATCCTCAGCTCTAAAAGCCAAATCTTATATGGTCACACAGGCCACATCAAGAACTTCAATTTTAGTCTAAGTATAATGAGAAGTACTGGAGACTTTTGTAAAAAGAATGATACAATCTGGTTTTCAATTTTAAATTACAATTCTGGTTGTTATGGAGAGGATAGAGGAGAGGGATGCATGGTTAGAAGTGAGAAGACTAAATAAAATCTGACTCCAGAATTATAAGCAAGAAATGGTAGCTTCATCTAGAATGGTGGCAAAAACAAAAATTGGTTCAAGGGCTGGAGCGATGGCTCAATGATTAAAGCATATACTGTCCTGCTAAAGGATCGGAGTGTAACAGCTAAACACTGACCTGAACTCCTGGAATCCAGTTGCAGAGAGGAAGGAGTGATGAGCAAAGGGGTCAAGACCAGGCTGGAGAGACCCACAGAAACAGCTGACCTGAACAAGGGGGAGCACATGGACCCCAGACTGATGGTGAGAGTCAAACATGAGACTGATCCAGACCCCCTAAATTTGGGTGTCAGTGAGGAGGCCTAGGTAATCTATGGGGCCTTGGATAGGAGATCAGTATTTATCCCTGGCATACAAATAGACTCTGGGAGCCCATTCCACATGGAGGGATGCTCTCTCAGCCTGGACACATGGGAGAGGGCCTAGGCCCTGCCCTGGATGAAATGACAAACTCTGGAGATCCCCCATGGCACAGTCACATTCTTCCAGATTCTTAACACTCACACTTCCTTACTCAGTCAGCATTAAGTCCAGCCTAGCAGCATACCTCATTGCTTATCATTAGTATGAGAAGTATTATCAAGGAAAGGGTCAGGAATTTAGCAGATGTGGGCCACGTAAAGGTGATGATCTGACTTTAATTACATGGTGTACATGGTGGAGAGAAGAGCATCTGGCAAGCTGTCCTCTGAACTCTACACACATGCATCACAGCACATACATGCCCCACACACATACGATGAATAAATAAATGCAATTAAATTCTGATATGCTGCTATCTAAATAATGAAATGTCCAGCAAATATTTGGGTGGTCTATTTGTTGTCACAATGTCTTGCCTCTAAAAGGTAGCTATATGCAGTATTATTCATATATTTTATCTAGCTGAGCAATGTCACATATATCTACATCTACATTTTCATATCTCCCTTTCATTCTTTTGTTCTAGTTTTGTGGTGGTTTTGGGGGGTGGAAGGTTTCCCAGTGTAGCCCATGATGGCCTGAAATTTACTATTTACCAAAAACTAGCCTGAAATTGCAGTCTTCCTGCCTCGACCTTCTGAATGCTGAGATTACAACCTCCAGGATGAAATTCTTAGTAACTTTTTTCAGGAATTAATTTTAGCTGGATTCAGTGATGTGCAACTTTAATTCCAGTACTCGGAAGGCAGAGTCAGTTGGATCTGAGCACTCAAGGCCAGCCTGATCCACATAGTGAGGACCCCTTAAAAAAGAACTTGTTTTGTGTGTGTGTGTGTGTGTGTGTGTGTGTGTGTGTGTGTGTGTATGTGTGTGTGTGTGTGTGTGTGTACAGGTACATCAAATACTAAAAGAGAAAGACAATTCATGAGGGAGTGGACATTGTAATTTACCAGCTATCTTTCCCTTTTTAATTTCTCATCAGAACTTTTTTCAAAATTGTATAAATCTGAATTTTCTCTTTGGATTCCTCTCTCTCATGAATTGTCTTTCTCCGAGGCATGAGGGTTGATATCGGTTACAATGGGAAGACCCTGTCTCAAAAAAAAAGCCCCCAAATTTATTTTTTGTGTGTAGCAGAATACATTAAAAGGTTCTGGCAATTAGTGTATGGGTGGGTAATTTGGGGTTATTATTCCATCTACTAATTTAGGCTCTAGCTAACTATCTCTTCACTTGGATTTATTATGGAGAGTTTGAATTTAACGTATTACCAATAGAATTTTTAATTCCTTCTCTGGCAAAACTCTGATCCTCCTCCATTGTTCCTATATCTGCAAATGACAACATCACCTGATTTGTTAAATTAAAAGCCAAAACCTTAGGTCTCAACCTCAATGCCCCCTTTTACTTCCTGCATTCCATTGTTTAGCAAATCTTGTTAAGTCCAACTGCAAAATAAGTCTTAACATTATTTTTCTTTTTACAAAATTACTTTAATTTTCTGTGTTTGGGTGTTTTGCCTGTACACCACATGCATGCTCAAGGGCAGCAGAGGGTTAGGTCTACCCTGGGGATGGAGTTACAACTGATTGCGAACCACATGTGGATGCTGAGAAAGGAGCCTGGGTCCTCTGGAAGAGCAGCCCATGCTTTTATTCATTTGTTCAGCACCCAGCACCTATTTTTATTATGTTTTGTTTGTGTTTGTGGTTTGTGAGTATGTGCATGTGAATGTAGATGCTCCTGGAGGCCAGACATGCCAGATTCCTCTGGAGCTGGAGTTACTGGCAGTTGTGAGCCTCCCAGTGTAGGTGCTAGGAATTATACTCTGATCCTTTTTTTTTTATTTAAATTAGAAACAAGCTTGCAATGGGCGGTGGCGCATGCCTTTAATCTCAGCACTCGGGAGACAGAGGCAGGTGGATCTCTGTGAGTTTGAGGCCAGCCTCGTATCCAGAGCGAGTTCCAGGACAGCCTTCAAAACAATACAGAGACACTATGTCTGGAACCCCCCCAAAAAGAAAAAGAAACAAGGTTGCTTCACATGTCAATCCCATATCCCTCTCCCTCCCCTCCTCCCCTGCCCCCACCAGCCCCCCAATCCCCCCCCCAATCCCTACTGTGCCTCCCGAGTTCTGGGACTAAAGGCACGAGCCACCACCACCTGGCTGATTTCCAGCTTTTATATTGAGGCAGGGTCTCACATGAACCAAGATCACTGAATTGGCTCATCTACCTATGAGATCTCCTGTCTGTGTTTCCTGAATGCTTCATTTCTGTGGGTCAATGGTGAGTCTGTCTCTAGTCCTTATGCTTGTTTGGAAAGCATTTTCCCCCCTGAGGCCCTAGCCTTATATTTTTGAGGCTATCACCAGTGGAATCCCTGGCCCCTGAGTTCTTTGTTTGCTATTACTATATAGAAAAGCTCTCTCTCTCTCTCTCTCTCTCTCTCTCTCTCTCTCTCTCTCTCTCTCTCTCTCTCTCTCTCTCTCTCTCTCTCTCCTCTCTCCTCTCCTCTCCTCTCCTCTCCTGTATGTGTGTGCATTGTGTGTGTACCCTGTGTGTGAAGGTGCATATATGTGCACATGTGTGTGGAGGCCTGAGATTGATGTTGTGTGACTTCCTCAGTTGCTTCTATATTGAGGCAGGGTCTCTTATTTAAACCCAGAACTCCCTGACGTGGCTAGTCTATCTGACCAACTTGCTTTAGGGCAATGGTTTTCGGCATGTGGATCATGGCCCCTTTGGTGTTGCATATCAGCTATTCTGCATATCAGATATGTATATTGCAATTCAAAACAGTAACAAAAGCCGGGCGTTGGGGGCACAGGCCTTTAATCCGAGGCAGAGGCAGGAGGATCTCTGTGAGTTGGAGGCCAGCCTGGTCTACAAAGTGAGTTCCACGACAGCCTCCAAAGCCACAAAGAAACCCTGTATCGAAAAACAAAAAAACAAAAAGTAACAAAATCACAGTTATGAAGTAGCAACATAATATCATGGCTGGGGGTCACCACACCAGGAGGAACTGGATTTACATCCTTTTCAATGGCATGCAAAGATTCCCTTTTCTCCACTTCCTCACCAGTCTTTGTTCTCTTTTGTAGCGGGGTGTTGGTGGCCCACTCCTTTAATCCCAGCACTCAGGAAGGCAGAGGCAGGTGGATCTCTGTGAGTTCGAGGCCAGCCTGGTCTACACAGCAAGTTCCAGGACAGCCTCCAAAACAATACAGAGAAACCCTGTCTCGAAAAAACAAAAAAAAATTAATTAAAAATAAATAAATAAACTTCATAGGAAAAAATGTGTATCTTTCTAGATATACTAAGGAGGGGAAAACTATAATCAAAATATTAAAATGCTAAAGGCATATTTTTGAAGACTTTAAGAGACGGAAAGCCCTCCCATGCTACAGATCACCAGGATTAACACTGTAAAGATAACTGTCTTCAAAACAAGCCCTATGATGATTCATGTGTCATTTCTTCCAAGAATCCTAAAATTTGTATGGGTGCCCAAAAGATTCCAAGTGCCCAAAGCAATAAATAAATGCTGGAGGGGTCACAGATTTTAAGTTATACTACAGAGCCACAGTAACTTTTAAAACAACCATGGTACTGGTACAAAAACAGGCACATATGCCAATGGGATAGACTAGAGGATTCAAAAATCAAACCACACATCTACAGCCAAGTGATGTATAAAAATGCAGGAACTAAAACAAACCTTCAGAATAGTTTCTTCGAAAAACTGGATGTCCACAGGTAGAAGAATGGAATTAGATTCACCTTTCTCACCTGTACAAAAGACAATTCAAAATGAATCAAAGACATTACATTATATGGAAATTCTAAAACTGCTAGAGGAGAATACCTCAAGATATAAACACAGGCAAGAACTTTCTGAAAAGGACCCCAATAGCTAATAACATAGAATCAAGAATTCACAAATGAGTTTGCATAAAGTTCAAACGCTTCTTTGCAGCAAAGGAAGCAACTTATAGAGTGAAGAGCCAGCCTACAGAATGGGAGCAAGTCTCCGCCAGCTATATTTCTGACAATGGAGTGTTAGCATGCCATAAAGAAGAACACAATTATGTTATTTGCAGGAAAACAGATGGACTCTAAGGTCATCTTGTTAAGTGAGACAAGGCAGACTCAAAAATATAAATATTGCAGTTTTCTGTTATATGCAGAATCTGGCTTTCAGTCTGTGTGTGTATGTGTTTGTGTGTGCACTTGCACATATATGGCACAAATATATAAAGGAAGATGGTAAGGACCAGTGAAGGGATGAGGGGGTAAAAGAGTAATGACCAAATATATGAGAGATGATAGGCATGTGTAAAGACATGATAAAGAAACTCATTTTGTATTCCATTAATAATGTACAAATAAAAATCTAAGGGCTGGCTTTCTAGCTTAGCAGTAGAGCAAATGTCTCACATGTGTACGATAGATATACTGGTCCAAATAAGGTAGATCACTGAAACTTTTAAGAAAAAAACCACAATGCTCTTTCAAATAACTACAGTTTGTACCCATCATTTTGCATTGCTGAGCTTTTTGGAGCTAACAATTAAGAAACTATACTCACAGAAAGACCTAAAACCAGGCCAGGTGGTGCTGGTGGTGGCAGCGCATGCCTTTAATCCCAGCACTCGGGAGGCAGAGGCAGGCGGATCTCTGTGAGTTTGAGACCAGCCTGGTCTACAGAGTGAGTTCCAGGACAGACTCCAAAGCTACACAGATAAACCCTGTCTCGAAAAAACAAAACAGAAAAAAAGAAAGGAAGGAAGGCCTAAAACCCCTGGAGGAAGCTGTACTAGACAGATATAGACAAGGTGGGAGAAGACAAGAAAATAAGTGGCATGTCCATTTATGTCAACTTGTCACAAGCTGGATTCATTTGAGAAGAGGAAATATCAGTTGAGAAAACGCCCACACAAGATTGGCTTCAAGATAAACCTATGGTGCACTTTCTTGTTTGACAATTGATGGGGAAGATGCCAGCTCATTGTGGATGGAGCCAGCACTAGGCCGGTGGTCCTGGGTTCTGTAAGAAAACAGGCTGAAGCTGGGCGTTGGTGGCGACCACCTTTAATCCCAGCACTTGGGAGGCAGAGGCAGGCAGATCTCTGTGAGTTTGAAGCCACCCTGGTCTACAGAGAGTTCCAGGACAGCCTCCAAAGCTACAGAGAAACCCTGTCTAGAAACACCCCCCTAATAAAAAAGAAAGAAAGAAAAACTGGCTGAGCCAGCCAATGATGAGCAAGCCAGTAATCTACACTCCTCCAAGGCTTTTGTATCATTTCCTGCCTCCAGGTTCCTGCCCTGTTTGAGTTCCTGTCCTCACTCTCTTGGATGATGGATTCCAAGCTGTAAGATGAAATAAACCCTTCCTCCTCAAGTTGCTTTTGGTCACCGTGTTTTATCACAGAAATATAAACCCTAATTAAATGCCCTGTATGCCTTAAGTGTAGACAGGCCTGCTGGCATTTTGCCTTTGGGAATTCTGAAGGCTGAACCCCTAAGGTTTGGATGCAGTGAAGTTTTCTACTGTCACCTCTATTTCTATAAATAATGACTGTTTAGAAGTGGGCTTGTGATCATATTATCCGCTGCCGTTCTGAACCTGAGGGACTGCTTCTGATCTTTTTTTTTTTTTTTTTTTTTTTTTTTTGGTTTTTCGAGACAGGGTTTCTCTGTGGCTTTGGAGGCTGTCCTGGAACTCGCTCTGTAGACCAGGCTGGCCTCGAACTCACCGAAATCCGCCTGCCTCTGCCTCCCGAGTGCTGGGATTAAAGGCGTGCGCCACCAACGCCCGGCTGATCATAAGGTCATTTGTGGCAAATATTTACTCAGTTCAGGGATTAAGGGGCTCAGGGAACACCGGTCCATTGGCACTACAGATGGAGTTCAGCCCTCTATTCAATCCAAGAGCACTTTACCTGGAGTTCAGAGTCAAAAGTCAATTGCATTCTTAACCTTTTAAGTCTCTTACCCTTCTGGATACTCTTTACTTGGCTTCCGGTTCAAAGCATTTCCTCACCTTGAGTCTAATCCTTTGGACTCTCCTAGGCCAAGTCCCTGAGAACTTTCTGTTACACTATTTGCAAATGAGTCTGTGGCCTGTAGACAGGATCGCACCCTGCTGGTACCTCAGTATTCTCTGGCTTTGTGGACAAAGCTTCAGAGTAGCGCCACTTCTAGGGTGAAGTTCACAGAACTTGACACAGAACAACTCTGCAATCCAGATAAATGAATCTCAGTGCAATGTTTTAAAAAAAAATAAAAAACATTGCAAGACTCCTTAGATTATGAATGTTCAGAACTTTACAAAGACAGGTTCCCATCCTGTACTAGCATGACCTTGATTCATGTGCCTCACTATAATTCCAGTCCTGGGTCTCCAAATAACTTTCTTTACAAAAACTGGGGAGTGGCCTGCAGTCTGAATGAAGGCTTTTAATATTCCATTAGATATTTATCTGGATCCCTGAGGTTTGGGGGAGGTTTTCTCTGTCTAGAGGGTCCGCCCTAGGCCTGGGTTTTTGTTTTGTTTTTTCCCCTTTGGGCACACTTATTTTCACCCTTCTTCACCATCCACTGACCCCTCTCAGGGTCCAGCGCACTAATAGTCGGTACTACATGCGGCCGCCCCTTAGTCGGGCCTAATCAGGTGCCAAGGGCAGGCTAGACTGGGAGGACAACCTCCCGGGCTCCTCCCGCAGGTCCCGAGCCACTCAGGGGCTTAGCCATTCTGCGCGCCTGTGCCGGGCGCCGGTCTCGGCCCGCCCCTTACGCCGGCAGCTCAGCGCCTGGCTGCCACTATATAAATCGGCCATTTGCTTTGCTCCGCCCTAGAGTCCGGGAGTCAAAGCCGGTTGTCAACCCAGTCCTGTCCCGCGCTTGTCTGCCTTTTCTCTTTCTTTCAACATGACAGATGCAGCTGTGTCCTTCGCCAAGGACTTCTTGGCAGGTGGAGTGGCTGCGGCCATCTCCAAAACGGCGGTAGCGCCCATCGAGCGGGTCAAGCTGCTGCTGCAGGTACGTCCTGGGATCGAGGGGCCCAAGCAGGAAATGGGGGAGCCGCACAGAAAGGGGGGTACCCTATCGGGAGAGTGGGACTCAATCTTTAGATCTGGGGCAAGGTGAAGGCCGGGCCGGGCCACAAAGTCAGACCAAAAGGCAAACTGGAGGAAGGCGCCTTTAAGGACCTAGAGTTTGAGTGTCACAAGTGATCGGGGCGAGGGAGCTGAAACGCTTGGGGCCATCCCCAGCACAGAGAACTAGGACAGGGCAGCCCGAGAGACACCGTCTACCCCGGCTTCAGGGTTAAGGGCAATAGGCCTGAAAGAAGGCGCTGGAAAACAACACCTGGCCTTACCGAGAACCTCAAGGTCACGGCAAGGAGATTACAGCTTTGGGTAGGCCACGCGGACCGGTTCCGCCGTCGCGCCGCCTGTGAACAACGCGGTCTAACCTCGCCGGCCGGCAGGCCGGAAGTGGACGCCAGGAAGAGCATGTGCCTGCTACGTCCGCCCCCGCGCAGCCCCTCGCCGGCCTTCCTGCGGCGCGCACGCGCTCGCCGCGCTGCGCCTCTAGAGGGCACTCGCGAGCGAAAGTTTAGCCACCCTTCCCCCTCCCAGAACAAAAGTGGGGGTGGGGTGGAAAGGAAGCGGTTCAGGAGACCTGAGAAGTTGACCGTGGTCTCCAAGGTGACCGTGTCCTATGCACGTCCCACCCTAATGCCGCGGAACCTGACTGGAGGGAGTGACCTTTCTTCCAGGTCTAAAGGTCATAGGTCCATTTGGGGGTGCCCCATTCACAGAGGTGGAGGCTTACCGCTTCTGACGGTGCAGATCAATTCTTAGCCCAGTGATCGCGTCAGCACCTAGGAGTGGCCAGCTCGTGTGATTCTGAAAGCTAGATTTGGAGAAAGGGGAACCAACTTTAAAGGTTATATGTGTATGTTCTTCCCTTTTCCCTTCTCTGTAGTTGTAACTGTCCCTATTGCCTTTTTTCCTGTCCATCAGGTGCAGCATGCCAGCAAGCAAATCACGGCAGATAAGCAATACAAGGGCATTATAGACTGCGTGGTTCGTATCCCCAAGGAACAGGGAGTCCTGTCCTTCTGGCGTGGTAACCTGGCCAATGTCATCAGATACTTCCCCACCCAGGCTCTCAACTTTGCCTTCAAAGATAAATACAAGCAGATCTTTTTGGGTGGTGTGGACAAGAGGACCCAGTTTTGGCGCTACTTTGCGGGGAACCTGGCATCGGGTGGTGCCGCTGGGGCCACATCCTTGTGCTTTGTGTATCCTCTTGATTTTGCCCGTACCCGTCTAGCAGCTGATGTGGGCAAAGCTGGAGCTGAAAGGGAATTCAAAGGCCTTGGTGACTGCCTGGTTAAGATCTACAAATCTGATGGGATTAGGGGCCTGTACCAAGGCTTTAATGTGTCAGTACAGGGCATTATCATCTACCGAGCTGCCTACTTTGGTATCTATGACACTGCAAAGGGTGAGTATACTATATGCTTAGGGGTTGTGGGCTTTGGGTGTTTGCACTGCTGGGAACTCAACCTAAGGGCCTTGTGTATGCTAATCCAGTGCTGAGTACTGAGGTGTATCCCCAAGCCCTGGTTGGTCTCTTCCCTCCCTCCTCTCTCCCTCTCTCCTCCTCTGAGACAGTCTCACTGTATATCCCTGGCTGTCGTGGAACTCACTCTGTAGACCAGGCTGGCTTCCAACTCACAGCCATCCACCTGCCTCTGACTCCTGAGAGCTAGGATTAAAGTTGTGTGCTGCTGCCACACCCAGCCCGATTTCTTTTTTCTTTATTTGTTTTTTGGTTTTACGAGACAGGGTTTCTCTGTATTGTTTTGGAGGCTGTCCTGGAACTCACTCTGTAGGCCAAACTGGCCTCGAACTCAGAGATCCGACTACCTCTGCCACCTGAGAGCTGGGATTAAAGGCTTGTGCCACCAACGCCCCGCTAAACCCCTGATTTCTTAGGTGAGGTCTCTAGGTAGCCCAGGCTGACCTTAGATTCAAGGTCCTCCTGCTTCAGGTTCCCAAATACCTGATATTGATTACAGGCTTGTATGATTGTATCATACACAAGCTGGGGGTTTTTTGGGGGGGTTGCTTTTTGTTTTTTTGAGACAGGATTTCTCTTTGGTTCTGGCTATCCTGGAACTAGCTTTTGTAGACCAGGCTGGCCTCTGCCTCCCGAGTGCTAAGATTAAAGGTGCCTACCTAACATTCCAGAAGGCCAACATTTGTTTGTTTTTAATTGCTGAAGGAAAGCAAATTCTTCCAATATAAAACATGAGGTAGATTAAAATGATGCTTCTGTGTAGTAGAAAATAGGTTGACAAAACTGCATTTTGATTAAGTATATGTGTCTTTATTTTCAGGAATGCTTCCAGATCCCAAGAATACCCATATCTTCATCAGCTGGATGATTGCACAGTCTGTCACTGCAGTTGCTGGCCTGACTTCCTATCCCTTTGACACGGTTCGTCGTCGTATGATGATGCAGTCTGGACGCAAAGGAAGTATGTTCTGCTTGTGAATAAGCTAAAAGTCAATGGGCATGGGGCAAATTATGGCCACAAACTAGTAATGGCTGCCTTTAAAAACGGCAGGCTGGGGGTAGCCCACCATACTCAAGGCCCTGCGTTCAGTCTCCAGTGCCATAGAACACTGTAGACAGTGTAGGGATAAAGTTGACAACATCCACAAGGCTGCTCGACTGCCTTGTGAGCAAGTGGCCTTTTAGATGCCTATGAGTTGGGATGCTTATGTTAAGAAGTCAGCCCTGTTCTCCCGTCACAACATTAATACTTACAAATTGTGCTAATGTATAAACTGGATTTAAAACTGACATTAAGTGCTTGGGAATACTAGCTCAGTAGTAGCTTTCCTAGCATGCATAAGGGCCAGGGTTCCATCCTCAGCATAACCCACCCCCTCAGAAAAAAAACTGAAATTACTTTTTAAAGGCAGGCTGTTTCGGTAATGTTTTGAATATGGGGGTGTTCGTTTAGTCATCAATCCGTGTCTTTATTCTTTGCAGCTGACATCATGTATACAGGCACAATTGACTGCTGGAGGAAGATTGCTCGTGATGAAGGAAGCAAGGCTTTTTTCAAGGGTGCATGGTCCAACGTTCTCAGGGGCATGGGTGGTGCCTTTGTGCTTGTCTTGTACGATGAGATCAAGAAGTACACATAATTATGTCTTAGGTGTCTCCCCAAGACCAGGCATGTTGTATAATACACCATATCTTGAACATTCTGGACAGATTCTCTGGGCTTGTCTGTTATCAATGGCAACTATTTACCAGTTGAAAAGTGGGAAGCAATAATATTCATCTGACCAGTTTTCTCTTAAAGCCATTTCCATAATGACAATAATGATGGGACTCAATTATATTTTTTATTTCAGTCACTCCTGATAATAAAAATTGAAGAAATAAAAATATCTAAGACAATTTTGTTTGTTGTTTCTTTCCATATAAAAATCTGCTTTGTGTGTGGGTAAATACTACATTTGAATAAAGGTGAGGTTTTCTGGGTTTTTTTGAGACCGCGTTTCTCTGTGTAGCCCTGGCCTTGAACTCTGGGATTTGCTTTTCTCTGCCTCAGAGTGCTGAGGTTAAAAGTGTGCACCGCCACCACCCAGCTGAGATGAATTTGTAAAACCAATTAGTTGTCAGCCATCTTTTCAAGGAATAACTTGGGATATGTACCAGTCAATATTCCCAACTGACAAACAGAATAAAATTTGGCACCAGCGTATCTGAACACTTTGGTCCGTTGTGACCTGTCAAAACTGCATGAACTCTTTCACAAAAGTATCATGTACCTGCTTTTCCTACTCCTGTGGTTATTAAACAAGAATCATAAGCCAAGTTAAATTTCAAATGAATATCACCTCATTTACATGATTTCTTTAAATATACGGTAATCACAGTTCAGTTTTCATTCAATTGCCTTTCATCTCCACCTGGCTCCAGCCGGTTTTAATCTCATTCAAAGCCGAGGATTAGGGCTGGTGCTGCTCCTTAGTGCTGAGATTTCAGTGCTGTTCAACACAGCCCCAACCTCCGAACTCCTTTTACAAAGGAGAAACAGCACCTGCATCTTGCCTGACATGCTAACAGCCCTGGGGTGAGGAGATGTTCGTTTCTATTGAATAAAGTCTTATTTGGGGTCCACAGGGAACCATGTTCAGAAGCTCTTCATTGGGGCTCAGAAATCCAGTGGATTTTGCCAGTACCATGAGATTTACGTGAAGAATAAAGTATCCCATTCCGTCAAGTCTCAACATGGATAGGAAGTAAGATGGGTGGTCATGCGCACAGATAAAGCTCAGAAACGTCCCGTTCAAGCTGTTCACAGACAAATAATGGGACCTATTAATAATGCCTGGGAGATGGCTAGGGTTTTTGCTATGCACCTACTGGCCAAGCACCCGAGTTACAGGATAGCTTAGTTAAGAGCTCTGTATTGCTGACAAGGAGGCGACAGCATTCTCCTGTGCAAAGCTAACACTTGGTGTTGCTTTGCCTCAATTCATTCATCTCCAGTGGTGGTTCTTTGTTCAGGCATGGAAGATGAAAAGCATCAGCTGAGATGTTTCTTGAGGAAAGTGTTTTAAAAGCAATATCATTCTGGTATCAGAGATCTGGGCTAAAATCTGCAGTCTAGATTTGACAAGTCACTTCATTTCTCCAAGCCTCTGTTTTCTTATGCATGTGATGAGGATAATGACACCTGTCTCAGGGGTAGTTGCAAAGACTAAATTGTGTATGGGAACCAGATGCCCCAGAACATATGTAATAAGCACTCCCTAAATGGTACTTGTGATCATCAGGAGGTAGTTGAGCTTCCTGAGTTCTATGATCAGAAGAAGCAGTTGGATTTTCATACGGTATGACCTCAGGCAAGTCAGTTAACCTCCTAGAGCCTCAGTTACCTCACTGGTAAAACGGCAAGATAGTGATGCTAGCCATACTTCTTGTAGGGCGTTGTGATGATGAAGAGCCCTGTTGAGTAGTAGGTATGATACATGGTGTCTAATCAACACCCCAATGTGGGGTTTTGTTTCACCATTCAGCACCCATTTCTATTGAACAGAGTACAGCAGTATTTATGAATAAATTCAAGCCCACCTTTAAAAAAACAAATTAGACATACCATATTGCGAAGCATTGATAAAAAATAAACTTCAGCACAGGCCTTTCAGTTATAGATTTTGTTCCTGAAAGGGAATAAGAGGCTCTCCACTTAGGGTTGCAAACACAATACAAGAGGACCCAAGCCCCCTTTATGGTTATTACAATAGATGTGTGCTCACCGAACTGCCAGCTATTAAATAAACGTAGGACTGGGCATTAATGATCAGAAAGCAAGAAGTGGTACCTCCTGTCATTGGGTGCCTGACACAGATGAGGTGCGGGGGTTCTGTTGTTGTTCTTGCTATTCTTGTTGTTCAATGATTTTTGAAATTTAATTTAAAGACAAAGTGATTTTAATCTCTCCAAGCTGTGCAGGATAGTGCTATAGAATTCATTATG